GTATCTCTCTGGTCCTTGGGAGAGACAAGGCGAGCCCGTGTATCTCTCTGGTCCTTGGGAGAGACAAGGCGAGCCCGTGTATCTCTCTGGTACCTGGGAGAGACTAGGCGAGCCCGTGTATCTCTCTGGTACCTGGGAGAGACTAGGCGAGCCCGTGTACCTATCTGGTACCTGGGAGAGACAAGGCGAGCCCGTGAACCTCTCTGGTACCTGGGAGAGACAAGGCGAGCCCGTGTATCTCTCTGGTACCTGGGAGAGACTAGGCGAGCCCGTGTATCTCTCTGGTACCTGGGAGAGACTAGGCGAGCCCGTGTACCTATCTGGTACCTGGGAGAGACAAGGCGAGCCCGTGAACCTCTCTGGTACCTGGGAGAGACAAGGCGAGCCCGTGTATCTCTCTGGTACCTGGGAGAGACAAGGCGAGCCCGTGTATCTCTCTGGTACCTGGGAGAGACAAGGCGAGCCCGTGAACCTCTCTACCTGGGAGAGACAAGGCGAGCCCGTGAACCTCTCTGGTACCTGGGAGAGACAAGGCGAGCCCGTGTATCTCTCTGGTACCTGGGAGAGACAAGGCGAGCCCGTGAACCTCTCTGGTACCTGGGAGAGACAAGGCGAGCCCGTGTATCTCTCTGGTACCTGGGAGAGACAAGGCGAGCCCGTGAACCTCTCTACCTGGGAGAGACAAGGCGAGCCCGTGAACCTGTCTACCTGGGAGAGACAAGGCGAGCCCGTGAACCTCTCTACCTGGGAGAGACAAGGCGAGCCCGTGAACCTCTCTGGTCCATGTGTGCGACTCTTGTCATGTGATCCTCTGGTCTGTCTCCTGACTTTTCTGCTGTACAAATTTAAACCTCCGTCCTTGCTGGTACCAGACCACGCATTGCCGTGTTGGTCAAAACGACTCCTGTCAGGGCATGTCTGGTGGTCGACACGAATCCTGTCAGGGCATGTCTGGTCAGTCGTCTGATTTAAATTGTTGGAGAGTGGCGAGCTGGTCGAGTTTTTCAGCGCTGTCGGGTGTGAGCTGGTGAGCTGTACAGATTCGACCTCCTGATGTAGCTGAGAAAAGCCGCCATCTTGCGAACCATGAAACGGGAAGTAGGCAGAGAATGGATGGGCATCGCTAGGCTTATATTTGTTTCTTTCGTCAAATTTGGTGTTTGTTTTCATTGTGCTGATTCCAGAATCTGTATAGACGAAAAGTCAGTGATTCATACCATTTATATGGGAATTCAAATGAAAATCTGAAATCTAAATAGATAGTTAACTACATCAATAAATTCCTAAAATCATAAACTAAATAATTATCCTTTAAAGTATTAAAGGATAAAGCTTATCACGACAAAATGCCTCTTGCCAAAATATCACTAGAAATATCTACAGACATAAAATGAAAATGATCTTAAAACATTAAATTGAATTTTGTGACGTCACACATTAATACACACTCATATTTTTTTTCATATAAATATTACATCAATCTCAATTCATTCGTTGAAAGCATATAATAATTTGTAGGAAATACATTTCACAACTTAGGATGATTTAATTTAAAACTAAAGAAAAACATTATGTCTAACACCAACGAACCTTCTGGAAATGACTCCCATGGTGTCAGGACTAGTCTGAAAGCTTCTGTCATAATTTGAGTGTCCATATGTCATAACTTAAGTATCCATCTGTCATTGGTTTCGTAACCTGTGCGTCCATCTGTCATGGCCTGAGTGTCCATCTGTATAAATGTTTCAAAATAAATTGTTAAGTAATTAATAAATAAACAAGTTAATAAATAAATAATTAGCCCTAAAAGAAAGATAAATTTAAAAAATAGTAGCTTCTCTAGTCACGAGTATGTTTATGTGCTCCAGCATATACATCAAGCCATTTACGAAGACTAGTCTTACAGCCTATCATTTACATACGTCTGTCTTTTACACTTGCTATTTACAACAACAATCTGTCTGCAGTATATGTGAGCGGGTGAATGGATTAGGTAGGGAAGCGTAGGATATATTTTAGTTATCCCCCACCGAGCAGGGCTTACAAATTGGTAGCACGAGTGGGGTCAGTGCTTTAGTCTAGTTAAATTTTTGTGTTCTATCCTACCCTTTCCTAGGATTACCTAACTAACTGTCCGGTCAGTGCAAGCCCGGCTAAACCCAGACTGGTTAATACCTTAACCTTAGTCTAAATTAAAAACAATAAAACTTAAACAGTTAATTAAATTTATTTCATGGAACCAATAAAAAAAACGATGAAAAACTACAGAATACACAAAACACGACTAAACAAAACTCAACGGGACAAAACACTGTATACAAAACATATACAAAACAAACTTTTTACACCAAACAAAACACCCAGCCAAGTTGCCCAAGCAACCTCACTGGAAGGGGGGGGGAGAGAAAAAGAAAAGGAAAACATAAGAAAAATGCATGGAAAAATATATACATCAATATATACATATGTTTAAATACTAATAACTTCTGCTAAAGATATCTAAAGCCTCGAGTAAAACGAATCCCTACTCTAACAATTCTAAAAGCAATTCTCAAAAACATAACTAACCACTGTCTAACCAAAAACTAGCAACTTAAAAATAACATGGCCTGAAGCCATTGGTCTACCTATACAACATCCATATTGATAACATTGACGTTAACAAACTCCGCTAGGGCCCCAATGAAGGCAGACACCAAGCAAGCGATACTCAACATGACGTTGCACGAAACAGCACACACATTAATTTTAAACAACCTAAAACTCGAGGCAACTAAAATATACTCATTACTGTCTAAAACAACCGACTATTGACTAAGCCAATCCTAGTCATCGTGGGGAACCCACAATAACAACACATCATAATAAAGTAAAACAAGTAAATGCACACACCACGTGGTCCCAAAACACACGCCAAGGGTTTAGAAAATACCAACAAAAAGAATACACCACGTGCATACCAGACATGCCGATGCCCACTATCTCGTTTTAGACGGAAAAGAAATAAAACGAGAACACATCGGCAGTCGTATTCATACAAATAACATTAAGATAAAATATAAAAAAAAATCAAATACCTCCAACGCACGAAGCGCGACCACGGACAACTGAACTGACCTACATTCTAGCGGTCAAAAAGAAAGAAAATTATCCGAGTGGTCAGTTTATATACTGACCGCTTCGGGCGGAAGGGGAACCCCGTAGCCGCTGTCCAGTGGACCATCCACTCACAGATTCGCACCAAATAAAATAATACAAAATAAATAATCCATTCACCCGCTCACATTCACCCCTTTTTAAAAACTTACAGTCCCTGTAAGACATTCAAATAAAATAATACAAAATAAATAATCCATTCACCCGCTCACATTAATCTTTACAAAAACAGCGTGTCTGTGTTTGTGTTGATGGCTCAAATATTTTGTCAACATTCGGTGCTAGAAATCATGATGTTGCAGCAACAAGTGGAACACAGGAACACTCTACCTAATAGACGAAACTATGATCACCACTAGCCTAGAAATATTTAACATTAATCTTTACAAAAATGGCGTGCTTGTGTTTGTGTGGATGTCTCATTGAGAGGCATGTTCTATATTTGCTATCAGCACCGACTGACTTGGACCAGACGCAAGAACCCACTGGTAGATCGAAATGAAATCTGTTTCTATGTTTCGTCTCAACTATAGAGATAAAAATTGATGTGTTGTCTAGAATACACATAACGCGGCGGTCATTGATAGATAAGTTTAAGCAACTTCATTTTAAATGCAATGAATTAAAGAAATCATTTTGATTTATATCTTGCTTTGGTTTTAAGATTATTTTTTTGTTAATACTACTTTTCTTAGTAGCATACAAAAATGTGTGACTCGAACTTTTAAAGCTCTAATTTTAAAATTGCCGAAATAAAAATATTCAACTATTTTATCGACAGAAATGGAAACGTAATTCAAAATCCCAAATCTCTGAGCACTTGCGGCATCCTTCAGTTGACTGGGTCAGTGCTCGAAGCTGAGATTTCATCAAGCAGTGAAACGTCAATCAATAACAATGTCGAGGGCGGAGTGTATCAGAAATGTAATTGTTGACGGCGGAAAGTTTTGTAGGTGTAATTGTTGCGATGGAAGGAGGATGTTGTTGATGTAATTGTTGAGGTGCTTCAGCCGATGTTGTGCCAGTCACGAGAGTGTTTGGAGTGGAAGGAGAGCACTTGGTCGGTTCTTGGCTTTAGAGACTTAAGAGGCTTCATGGGTCAAGTTGTGTTTACTGGGTTCAATATATGTAACAATGAGATGACTCATATTATATTGTTAGAGGCTACAGAATTCACAATAAAGAAATATTAGAATACTGCAATATTATACGGTAATATTTAAGGGCCAATATTATTTGTAATTTGTACACATTAGATGTTCCAGAAATTTTGTGAAATCAGATACTTTGGTAGGATCAAAACTAATTTTTTAATTTGATATTAAAAAATTAAATATTAGATAAGATGAATATGTAAATGAAATAAATACAGGCTCTACGTTCCAATCAATTAAATATTTCAGCAATTCTATTTCTCCGTCGTTCTGGTAACCTGTAAAACTCAATTTTGACTGGAAAAAATATTGTATGTGCTAACAGCACAAACACATTATGTTATTAGGCCATTTGATAAACCTGCTAGACCACCAACCTATCCGCTAGCACCACCAGAAACCTACTGGACCACCAACCTACTGGACAACCAACCTAGTGGACCACCAACCTATCCGCTAGCACCACCAGAAACCTACTGGACCACCAACCTATCCGCTAGCACCACCAGAAACCTACTAGACCACCAACCTACTAGACCACCAACTTACTGGACCACCAACCTACAGGACCACCAACCTACTGGACCACCAACCTACTGGACCACCAACCTACTGGACCACCAACCTACTGGACCACCAATCAACTGGACCACCAACCTACTGGACCACCAACCTATCTAGTCCACTACCATGGAGTTTGGCCTAAACAAGAGCACTGACGGGGACATAACTCTGAAACCTGTCTACACCAGCCCAACAGTTGTGAGCTTATTGAGTGACCCTGTGTGGCAGCTGGTCGACTTTGTCATGTATGTGCCAGTACTTGGGGTCTTGAGTTTCTTGGGGATCGTCGCCAACATTGTCAACATCATGGTGTTTTTGAAACAGGTGGGTTTTATATTAGCTTGAAGAAGTTTGAAAATGAAACTATCACGTAAGTAACTGTTCCAATGTAAAGGTCGTATGTTTTCTCCTCACCCCAGGAGCTCGGCAGACCGGTGACCCTGAGCCTTCTGGCCCTGTGTGTGGCCCACCTCGGTGCCAGCCTCGCGCTGTTCTGGGAGAGCTTCCTGTACAATCCTTACCTGCAAAAGTCGGCCATACCTGTTAGAGTGGACGCTCTGATCTACCTCACCGCAGGTATAGCTGTTCACATTGTTTCAGGAATAATTCTTTTTTATTTGTACAATACAATACTGGGGATCCTTTTTTCTATCTGCAGCTATTTTATATCATTAATGATTTTTTGAAATAAAAAATTTGATTCAAATATAAATTTAAAAAAAAAAACTTTATACAACGAGCGTAAGAAATTTTTTGACGTCGAACTTGAGATTTTGCCTTTATAGCGGTGGAATTATTTTTTAAAGCTAATTTGCCGTGTAAATTTGGTTTGCACTAAAATATTTTATTTTGTTAAACTTTTCTTTTTTAGCTCTACCCAGCGCTGTCTTCTACAGAAACTCCACCCTGATCCACGTGTACATAACACTAGAGCGGTGCCTGTGTATAGCCATGCCTCTAAAGATCAAAGAAATCTTCACACCGAACCAATCAATAACCACCATGGCTGGGATTTATCTATTATCGACTCTCAGCATTTTACCAATGTACCTGTCAGGTTACCTGGAGCTGTCAATCAACCCAACAACCAACACAACCGTCTACGTCAGAGTCCGCTACGACAACGCAGTCTACCTAGAGACTATCGGCCTGTACCTGTCAGCACTTTGTATTTTGTTGCCGTATGTCTTAGAAATTTTCCTGACAATTTGTATCATCTGGCAATTACACATCAAATCAAAGTGGCGAAACAAGATGGCCGCCGCCACAAATTCAACAAGTTTGAAGGAAAGAAAACTTGTTAAAATGGTTGTCTTTATAACCTCACTGTTTATTTGTTTCTCCTTCTTTACCTGCTTCAACTTTTTACAAGGTCTAATCAAACACTTTCTAGCAGAAGACGTGACGCGGCTGGGCAGTGTCCAGCTCTTCCAGTTTCCCTGGTCGGTGGTGCTGGTCTTCGAACAACTTCTGCATTCGGTCAACCTCCTCATTTTCTACAACATGAGCGCCAACTACAAATTGGTTTTCCGTCAAATCTTTCACATGCAAGTATTTTTATCGGATAAAACTATATAAACAGATTCAAGATATTCGAAAGGTCCATTAAATATTTCCTAAAAACCGGTAGGATCTTTTTTTTTTTTTTTTTTTTTTTTGAAAAATCTGGATCTGACTGGTTGATTTTTGTTGGTCTTTACTAAAGATTGGAAGTATTTCATGATTTAGAAGTTTTGGTAACTTAACAAAAAAATTTAAAAGAATGTAAGTAAACATGGTACAAATAGATCTTCGTTTTTTTTTATTTATCGACAAATTTTTGAGGAAAAATTACTGCGAGTTTTTTTATAAGTGGTGCTTTCAGAACATCGATAACGAAGTTCCTGTACAGCCAATCAATGTTTGTCTCACGAAAGTATCAATTCAGGTTATAATTTAGACTTGAAAATAAATTGAAATGTAGCCTCGAAGTCGAACTCAGAAAACTATTTTAAAGTTCTCTGGATTTGCAACTTTTATAACATCTATCTATCTATCTATCTATATACTACTAAAACTCAAGTTTGTTTACATGTTTGAATATATTTTTGTTTGTTTGTTTGTTTGTCTGATTTCGTACTGTAGAAAATCTACGCTATATATAGAGCTGTAAAATTCATAGGTTGATTAACCACATTACTTTTAAAGTTTTAGAACAATGGCTTAACTTTGACTGAATAGTGACGTTTGATAACTCATTTTTTGTTTGTTTTTCTGATTTTTTATTGGGTAGAATCTGCATTATGTGAAGAGCTGTAAAATAGAGAATTTTGGGTGGTAAATATTGTTCCTTTTTAAACACACTGTTAATTACAAACAAATTTAAAGCCGTTAATTAATGTATTGATATATTCATAAATAGGTTAACCACATTAATTATAAAAGTTTAGAACAATGAATTAAGTAATAGTACAAAGATTTATTTTCTTTTTACAACAATGTTTTCAATTATTTTTTTCTTAAGGCCTATATGTGAATGATAAGGTTGACTATCAGGACCTCGCGGGGCACAGGGCAGGTGAAGTAGAGTTCACCTGTTTCTATGTTCTCAGCATATGAAGGGATAGTGTGGTCAGAGCCATGCTCGGGCGGAATCTTTTTTTTAAAAAAAACTCAAACATGTCTGAGACTTGGCGGGTGAAGTAGAGTTTAGTAGCGTTTTTTAAATATAAAAACGTCTTTTTGAATGTGGGGTCTGGTTATTTTGGGATGATAAGTGCTGACAGACGTGATGTCATTTATGAATGACCCCCGAAACCCACAGTTATCTAATTAGATAACGGGTAGTCTAGTTTACTCTAAAATTCTAAATTTTCTGAATTAGTTTCAATTTTTATTTTTCACGACCGCTTTGATGGAAATTCTATTTTTTTTTAAACACGATTTTTATCCCTGTCAAGAATAATGATGGAAGGATTTTCGTCGACTCGTTGATGTCCATTGGATGTATACTTAACTGGTTTGCGTGATAGATTTAATTGGGTTTAACAAGTTTACAAAATTTGACTTTAGTTGTGTTGTTTGAGAGGAAATAGTAGAAGACATTTTTGTGACGGTGACTGTGTTGTGAAGGTGTGTTGTGACGGTGTGTTGTGACGGTGACTGTGACTGTGTTGTGTTGTGACGGTGTGTTGTGACGCTGTGTTGTGACGGTGTGTTGTGACGGTGACTGTGTTGTGACGGTGACTGTGACTGTGTTGTGTTGTGACGGTGTGTTGTGACGGTGTGTTGTGACGGTGACAATGTGTTGTGAAATGTTGTCAAAATGTTTAAAAGCTACCGATGCCGTTTCTTCTTGCAGTGTCGCGTTATTTTATTTTAGAATATTTTTTATTTATTTTGAACGCTATGTAATATTGTGCTGATAGGCGATATCTTTGTTCGATCCAGATTCTATCTAATTGTTTAAACCTGAAGGTCATGTAGCTTTATGCCTCTACTTTATTTGTTTTGTGTTAAGGTTTTGTGGTTAATGCTAGTAATAGTGTTGTTGTTTTTGTTGTTGATGGTTTTATTGAAATAAATTTTTAACAACAGAAAAAAAGCTATAACACAAAATCTAAACTAAATTTTAAAAATTTATTTCCAGTTTGTATAAAACATGAAACATTGCTTTCTTTATGTATCCTACATCTTTACCCTGGGATTCTGAACATTTCAAACACTTTTAGCTCATACGTTTTCAGTAGAGCGAAGAAAAACAACGGCACTCAACTTTTAGAAACTCATTTGAATATTTAAGCCCAAAGAGAATAAAACAGATTAACATTGAACAGATTAGGATTAACATTGAACAGATTAGGATTAACATTGAACAGATTAGGATTAACCCTTCCACAGGTACGGCTTATCCCCCACGTAGACCCGGTTGATCCTGAAGTTACTTCCCTTAGCCCCAGACACGTCCAGTGTCCCAGCCAGGAACTCATTCATCCGTGACGTGGTGAACCAAAGATGGCCGCTGGGGTCAAGGGTCAGTGACTCCACCCATATAAACCTGACGTCATCCTTAGCGACCAATGTCTCCGTTGCTATGGTAACCATGTCCTCCGAAACCTTTTGTAGGTCCTGCGTCAAGTTCCACCTGAGGACAATTAGTTTTAATTAATTAATCGCTGCATGTCGATGTACAGAGTTGTATGGTCAGACCTATATGATACAGTTGTATGGTCAGATCTATATGATACAGTTGTATGGTCAGACCTATATGATACAGTTGTATGGTCAGATCTATATGATACAGTTGTATGGTCAGACCTATATGATACAGTTGTATGGTCAGATCTATATGATACAGTTGTATGGTCAGATCTATGTGATACAGTTGTATGGTCAGATCTATGTGATACAGTTGTATGGTCAGACCTATATGATACAGTTGTATGGTCAGATCTATATGATACAGTTGTATGGTCAGATCTATATGATACAGTTGTATGGTCAGACCTATATGATACAGTTGTATGGTCAGATCTATATGATACAGTTGTATGGTCAGATCTATATGATACAGTTGTATGGTCAGATCTATATGATACAGTTGTATGGTCAGATCTATATGATACAGTTGTATGGTCAGATCTATATGATACAGTTGTATGGTCAGATCTATATGATACAGTTGTATGGTCAGATCTATATGATACAGTTGTATAGTCAGATCTATGTGATACAGTTGTATGGTCAGATCTATATGATACAGTTGTATGGTCAGATCTATATGATACAGTTGTATGGTCAGATCTATATGATACAGTTGTATGGTCAGATCTATATGATACAGTTGTATGGTCAGATCTATATGATACAGTTGTATGGTCAGATCTATATGATACAGTTGTATGGTCAGATCTATATGATACAGTTGTATGGTCAGATCTATATGATACAGTTGTATGGTCAGATCTATATGATACAGTTGTGTGGTCAGATCTATATGATACAGTTGTATGGTCAGATCTATGTGATACAGTTGTATGGTCAGATCTATGTGATACAGTTGTATGGTCAGATCTATATGATACAGTTGTATGGTCAGATCTATATGATACAGTTGTATGGTCAGATCTATATGATACAGTTGTATGGTCAGATCTATATGATACAGTTGTATGGTCAGATCTATGTGATACAGTTGTATGGTCAGATCTATGTGATACAGTTGTATGGTCAGATCTATATGATACAGTTGTATGGTCAGATCTATATGATACAGTTGTATGGTCAGATCTATATGATACAGTTGTATGGTCAGATCTATATGATACAGTTGTATGGTCAGATCTATATGATACAGTTGTATGGTCAGATCTATATGATACAGTTGTATGGTCAGATCTATATGATACAGTTGTATGGTCAGATCTATATGATACAGTTGTATCGTCAGATCTATATGATACAGTTGTATGGTCAGATCTATGTGATACAGTTGTATGGTCAGATCTATATGATACAGTTGTATGGTCAGATCTATATGATACAGTTGTATGGTCAGATCTATATGATACAGTTGTATGGTTAGATCTATATGATACAGTTGTATGGTCAGATCTATATGATACAGTTGTATGGTCAGATCTATATGATACAGTTGTATGGTCAGATCTATATGATACAGTTGTATGGTCAGATCTATATGATACAGTTGTATGGTCAGATCTATATGATACAGTTGTATGGTCAGATCTATATGATACAGAGTTGTATGAACCATAAGCCACATGTGAACCATATTTTCCGTGCGTATAAAGTTTATTTTTATATTTGTATTGATAATTATTATAAGCTTATTTTACTCACTACCTTTTGTTACTAAATTACACACTGCCTATTGCCACTACTAAATTATACTGCCTATTGCCACTACTAAATTATACTGCCTATTGCCACTACTAAATTACACTGCCTATTGTCACTACTAAATTAAACACTGCCTATTGCCACAACTTACATGTACACAGCGTTGAGGGACAAAGCACCGTAGTACAATGCCTTCTGACCAAAGACAAGTCCGTCCGAGTTGGAGGCCTTGGTGCCAGCCAGTCTGTAGCGTCCAGTGAAGTCCCCGCTGGGTTCTCTCAGTACAGACGTCGGTATCTGGTGCAGCTTTTTGCTGCCGACAGGGCTGTAGTACAGGAACCGGTAGCTGGGGTCTAGGGCGATGCCGTTGATGCCGAATCCCGCCTGGTAGTTGATGCCGTTGATCCTGATCGTCGTGTCGGTGTCCGGCTTCATGGAGGCGTGCTTGAAGGCCCAGCTGGCGTTCTGCGCCAGGTCCAGCACGATGATCTGCTCGTTCAGCATGTCCGAGATGTAGACGTACCGGACATCGGGGGCGGACTTTGACACGTAGTCCAGCGCTAGCTCGTTCAACATGTTGGTCGCCGCGGGCACGACAGACGCGGGGAAAATGTAACTTCTGACCAACGCGCCTTTCTTTTTGAGGTCAAGGATGACCAGTTTAGGCGGACAGATGACGTCAGTTGGCTGAGGCACGATGCTGGTTCTTCCAACGTCAATGACGTACATTAGGCCCGTGTTGGGGTCAGTGGCGGATTTAATTGGGAACTGTAGGTTGGAGCAGTTACCGGCTTCGTTGTATTGTAAGCTGGGGAACGGCTGCAAGAGTGACCTGCCCTGCTTGACCACGACCTTGTTGAGGCCAGAAGGCACGCCTTGTGACGTACGCAGGACTGTGACGTAGACGTCGCTCTTGTACACGTCCACTCCCGACAAGACGTTGGCAGCGGGGTTGAACCAGCCCTTCTCCGTGTAGTAGCCCCGCACCCAGTCGCACGGCCACTCGAACTCTAAGCTAGACCACTGGTGAACGGTCTGAGCACCCTTGTCAGTGGACCCCTGTCTGTGGGCCCCTGTTTGCGGACCCTTGTCCTTAAACAAATCTGTTCTGAGGTTCCAGAAGTCTGAGAGATGGCTGTGGTGCTGACCACCATCCACGATCTCGGCCACCAACAGGACCCCAGACAACATCAAACAACTTCTAATCATGGCTGGACCTCAGTGCTCTAGCAGCAGAAATCAAACATTTGTCAGTTTACACATTAGCACGTCAAAATCTTTCATACTTGACACTTTCATCCCGGATTTTACAATATTTTGTTTAACTTGCTTTCTCTGTCGACAGTCGTCATTATATTTATATCGAAACGCTCTAATTAAATTTCTGGCACTGCTAGGTGACGGATTCGTTTCAATGTTGGCACGTGGCATAAAAACAATGCAATATGACATTAAATTTGACTTAATTGGAGGCCTAATTATTTTTTTATGAATTAATTAAAATTTTGTCCAAATTAGTACGCGCGTTATCATGTTTATTAGGTGCGCAATAGTTTTTAGACATGCAACTCTACTGTAAATTAAAAAAATTATTTAAGTACTGAAAATAAAGCGGGAGTTATCTCGCTTAAACGGTCTCGAATATTCTTATATAACACAACGGGGGATGACAAATCGGGGTATAGACATGATTTTGAATCCATTTTTAATTACGTTTTAAAATAGAAAAGAATCTCGTAGAAAAATGAATTGCGCACCAAGTGAACGGCAAACAATATGTGTATAATAGTGCGGAATATTAGTACTTGTTGCGGTTTTTGAGAAACCGGAAATAACGTAAACTACTACTTCCGGTCAACGAAAATTACTTAAAAATTGACAGAAGTCAGAGAATTTGATCTTTTACTTATATGTGAAATTTCGTCTATAGATGTGAAACAATACACAAGTAATAGGCATTTGGAAAACCAAAAGTAGAATAAGTTCCACTTCCGGTTACCGGAAATCGCTGAAAAGTTCATACAGAACTACAAATTTGATATTAAATGAAATTTCATGTACCTAGCTGTAACGGTACTCAAGTTATCGTGTTCACAGACATACACACACGCACACATACACAACCAGACATACGGACAAACATTGCAAAACTATGTTTTTTCCGACTCAGGGCTGTGTAAAACGTCGAGATTCGTGAAAAACTCGATTTCGATTTTTTTGCACGATTACAAGACTTCCTCTAGAGGCCTAATTGGTACACGAGAAAGTAATAAAATACTTAAAAAAAACTTTTTTAAAAACCACGTTTTTCTTGTGGACTAAAAAGTAGAAAATAAATTTTCATACATTTGATGACAAAAAACGTGGGTACGTTCACCATCAAATTTCCCGACCCATCTGCCCGACCCACGTTTTTTGTCATCAAATGTATGAAAATTTATTTTCTACTTTTTAGTCCACAAGAAAAACGTGGTTTTTAAAAAAGTTTTTTTTAAGTATTTTATTTTCTCCTTTTTAGTCCGTTGCTACACATGAAAAACGTTGTTTTTAAAAAAGTTTTTTATATAGTTTATTTGCTACTATATCTAATGACTTGATTAAGTATGACTTGACTAAGTGTTTATAAATACACGGACTAAAAATCTTGAGCGACCAGGATTCGAACCTGGATTGTCGCGGCCACAACGCGAAGTACTAACCACTATACGATCACGGCCAGCGCGCTCACATCGATTGGGGCCGAAGTAACTGTGCCAATAGGCCTCCAGTCTTGTCGGTATCTTTAGAAATCATGTACTCAATTTTATGGTCCTTGGGGCGTAATTAAATTAAGCTAATTACGGTCTCTAATTGCTAGTTTTTATGATTGCATCTGAAATTGTTAGGCGAAAGTAGCCTACATGCCAAACTTCAGATCTATTGAGCAATCAGAAGTGGGCTAATTTTCGATGTCAATTTTAACAACAAACACACAAATCCACAAACGCGAAGCTGAGTTAAGAAAAACGTGTTAAAAATGTGTTGTACTTCTAAAATCCTTTGAATAATTCTACTCCTACCGAGTACCTCCTACCTGTGACGTCAGTGAAATGGGCCAGCACTAGGTCTACATCCCATTACCAGCGAGGGTTGAATGCCCCACTAGAACTGCTGACAAATTTATACCTCGGCTGTCGTGAAAAGCGCAAGTCATCGTTACAGGTAGATTTGTTTTCTGTTGAACGAAACCAGGCCCGTTTCGTGAGTCAATGACAAGGTGGATGTAAAAGTTGGAGTGGATTTACAGGTGGGGGGGGGGGGGGCTGTTATATTTTGCTTAACCAACCCCAACACCGTTTGGTTTTTTGTAAGCACATTTTAAAACCTCACCTGTAAATTTACGTGGAAACCACATTTTGCTCAGTTTTTCATCATACACCCGTAACCGTAATGCACTAGTACCTTGTACAACAGTCAAATGTTTTACACCTGTCCCCTGATATTTGCATATATATTAATATATATATATATATATTTTATATATATATATATATATATATATAAGGAAACCCTGAGAGGTACCTGGTCCAGATTAAAAGTGGATGTACTTCTGTTTGACAAGCTGGGTGAGGCGGCTCTCTATTGGGTACACTTGACTCATGTCAGTCAGGTAGTTGAAGATAGTCATAGGGGAGGTTTCGCATTATTAAATTTTTTTTTAGATTGTCAACAAATTCATAAAATAAAACAAGAGCTTGCTCATGTAGTTTTCAATTATTAGGATTTGAAGGGTTTAGTTAGAACAATAACATTCTAAATGTTAACTCACGGCTTTCTAGCCGTTCTGTGTGGCTAGTTTGTGACGTGATCAGTTTGTGACGTGATGTGATCAGTTTGTGGCGTGGTGTGGTCAGATATTCAGTCATGTCAAGCTAATCAAGCAGCTGTTGTTACTTGTACAGACAAATGCTGTTGTAGTTACCTATACAGACTAATGATGTAGTAGTTAACTGTACAGAGTATTACTGTTACAAGAGAAAAAACAAACCAATCTAGACTTGATGAGAACCTTTATTGGTTTTTAACAATCAAATGGAACTTTGAGGTGAATAGGAAAAGTTGTGAACCAACTACAGTTGTACTAGCTTGATATATCCGATGTAGAGATACAAGCTATCAACATATGTAGATATAGACAAACATATGTAGATACAGACAAACCAACAGATGTAGATACAGACAAACCAACAGATATAGATACAGACAAACCAACAGATATAGATACAGACAAACCAACAGATGAAGATACAAACACACAGATGTAGATACAGACAAACCAACAGATATAGATACAGACAAACCAACAGATGTAGATACAGACAAACCAACAGATGTAGATACAGACAAACCAACAGATGTAGATACAGACAAACCAACAGATGTAGATACAGACAAACCAACAGATGTAGATACAGACAAACCAACAGATGTAGATACAGACAAACCAACAGATGTAGATACAGACAAACCAACAGATGTAGATACAGACAAACCAACAGATGTAGATACAGACAAACCAACAGATGTAGATACAGACAAACCAACAGATGTAGATACAGACAAACCAACAGATGTAGATACAGACAAACCAACAGATGTAGATACAGACAAACCAACAGTTGTAGATACAGACAAACCAACAGATGTAGATACAGACAAACCAACAGATGTAGATACAGACAACCCAACAGATGTAGATACAGACAAACCAACAGATGTAGATACAGACAAACCAACAGATGTAGATACAGACAAACAGATGTAGATACAGACAAACCAACAGATGTAGATAGAAACTAACACACATACACACACATCTACACACAGACCAACAACCATACATATTTAGATACACACAAATCAAAACATTTAGGTACACTGGAAAAAATTACTTACAAAAAACCAAAATGAGCCAAAATGGATGAGCTGACTCAAATTTCACAAAATGCATTAATTTCATATTGTGCATGAAATTTCAGGCATCTAACAACAGCAGCATTATGTCACAAACTACCCACAGAAAGACCTATCACATGTCACCAACTACCCACACAGACCTCTCACATGTCACAAACTACCCACACATAGACCTCTCACATGTCACCAACTACCCACACAGACCTCTCACATGTCACAAACTACCCAAACACAGACCACTCACATGTCACAAACTACCCACACACAGAGATCTCACATGTCACAAACTACCCACACACAGACCTCTCACATGTCACAAACTACCCACACACAGATATCTCACATGTCACAAACTACCCAAACACAGACCTCTCACATGTCACAAACTACCCACACAGACCTCTCACATGTCACCAACTACCCACACAAAGACCTCTCACATGTCACAAACTACCCACACAGACCTCTCACATGTCACAAACTACCCACACAGACCTCTCACATGTCACAAACTACCCACACAGACATGTCACAAACTACCCACACACAGACCTCTCACATGTCACAAACTACCCACACAGACATGTCACAAACTACCCACACACAGACCTCTCACATGTCACAAACTACCCACACAGACATGTCACAAACTACCCACACACAGACCTCTCACATGTCACAAACTACCCACACAGACCTCTCACTCACAAACTACCCACACACAGACCTCATTCATACATCTGATCCAGTCACAAGATGAAGATGTCAAATCTGGCTGGAACATTGAGTGCAACCATCAGTGGTCGTCTGAAGCTCTCACATGTCACAAACTACCCACACACAGACCTCTCACACATCACCAACTACCCACATTCAGACATCTGATCCAGTCACAAGATGAAGATGTCAAATCTGGCTGGAACATTGAGTGCAACCATCAGTGCTCGTCTGAAGCTCTCACAAAAAACATTACATAGTTTTGTTTCATCTGAGATTTCCTTTCTTCCTTGACCTCCGCCTGTATCCCAGCAGCCCTCTCACTGACCTCCCTCATCACCTGACCTGGGTAGGCACACCCATACATAGTGATATTGACAAAACATCGAGACAGACAAACCAGGCGATCTAGAGGCAAATCTATGTTGGACATTAAAAATTTTCTGCGAAGTCTCCACTCTGTGCTGCTTTCATATTGATCTCTCAGTGAGTCTATGTCCATGTCTCCACATCTCGATTCAGATGCTGCCTTACATTCATCCGTTGCACTGAAAAGTCAAATAAATTATGCTTCATACATTCTTATATATAATATATACACAAACCTAAAGAGACTAAATACTTCATACTTTTCTACTCCACTTAAGAATAATAAACAACTTTCATCACGTAATGCTCATTCTGAGAGATTTTGTTTTCAATTTATGAGAATATCTCTACTTTAAAAAACAATTTAAAATAAATTTCTACCTAATTTAGTAATGAAACATTTTATTAAATTATTTAAACATTAGCCCTTGCCTACAAAAGACAAGATTTAAATCAAAAGATTAATTAGACATTAGCCCTTGCCTACACAGGACAAGATTTAAATCAAAAGATTAATTAGACATTAGCCCTTGCTTACACAGGACAAGATTTAAATCAAAAGATTAATTAGACATTAGCCCTTGCCTACACAGGGCAAGATTTAAATCAAAAGATGCCTACCTCTGGTCTCCTGAAATACTTGATGTTTTTTGTTTAGCATTATCTGCATGTTTCATGGGCTGGTTGTGGTCTGCTATTGTGGTCCTTGCTGTGTCCTCCCTCGTGGGCCCACCTTCAAGTGATGTTGATGAAGATGGCCCACTTAAAAGTGATGTTGATGAAGATGGCCCACTTAAAAGTGATGTTGAAGATGGCCCACTTAAAAGTGATGTTGAAGATGGCCCACTTACAAGTGATGTTGATGAAGATGGCCCACTTAAAAGTGATGTTGATGAAGACGGCCCACCTGCATGTGATGTTGATGAAGACGGCCCACCTACAAGTGGTGTTGATGAAGTTGGCCCACTTAAAAGTGTTGATGTGGTGGCCCCACCTTTGACCAACACAGATGCACCTCCACTACCAACAACACTCCTCTCTTCCACTGTACTACCTGTCCAATCAACACTCAGCCAGACCCCCTGGGTAGGGGGTGACCCGCCCCTCTGGGTAGGGGCTGACCCGACCCCCTGGGTAGGGGCTGACCCAGGTGGGAGGAGCTTGTATTTGGATGTCTCCCCCCCACATGACATGATGTGGTCAAACAGCTGGAAGGCTGACCTCCTTCTGCTGATACACAAATACCTGTTCCCCCCCTTCCCACGACTTTTGCTCTTCAGGTTTAACTTTCTGCACACATCATGAATGACCTGTCTCTCCTCAATTCTGAAGTCTGATGAAAACAAGAGGTCTTCCTGCTTGTCAGACACAGCATAGTTTTCAATGATCTCTTTCACTTTCCTCCTGAACTCCTCCGTGATGCCTGCGGCAGAACTCAGGCCCAGACCCTGTCTGTTGAAAACACTTTTAAGTGAGACAGGCTCGGCAATACCTGAGCCATCCTTCCCCACCCCTCCACCCTCCCAGCCCATCTTGCGCAACAGTTTGTTCCCGATGTTGTCTCCACCAATGACATCGCGCTGATCACTCAACTCACTCAACATTTCCTCCTTGCTGATCCTGACCTCGGAGTCTGAGGACTGCTTCGTCTTGATCACCCAACATAACTCTCTCAGACTTCTTAGTGCTACATCTGATGCCGTGTTCTTGGCTGCAATTTTTGAGGTTTCCTTCACATCAGCCAGAACATTGTTCTCAATCTTGAGGACGCAGCGAGTCAGGTCGGCAAGGAAGAAGTATTCGTACTCCAGCAGCATGTGGTTGAAGTCCGCGCTCCTCCTGAGGGTGTGAGCAGAGTTACAGTCATGGGGGACGACCAGAGGTTCCACGATGACAAAATCCTCCAGGGGTTTGAACTCGTTGGGTCTACGTTTACGTCCAGCGGCCTCCATATTTGACTCCTTGTGCTGGCCTGCCGCCCCAGGACAGGACGGGGTGGTGGCCAATGATGGGTGATTCACCCTAGGCTGTACAGCTGGCCTTGTAGACTGGCTGGCTGGAGGGAAGGGAGTCTGACTGCCCTCCAGCTCTAAGTGGTTATCATGCTGGACAAGATGCAAGTAAGGCATCAGGATCTTCTGTAGAGCTATCTCATGCGCATTGGTTTTGGCGTCTTTGATTTTAGAGGCTCGACCTGTTGCTACAATGACACGCTCCATATCCACCCGACACACAAACTGGTTGCCAGCGCCAACAAGCACGGACTCGACGTTTGCCCCGATCTGAATGGGGACTCTGTTGCATGCTGAGTGAAGCTTGTCCTTAGCATTGGGACGTTCTGTCTTTAAGGAGAGCACTTCATAAGCAAGTTTCCTAAACTTCTTCAGCACAGGGTCTTGTTCAGCCAGCCAGGCGGAGTGGTAGGCAGACAGGGGCATGACAGGCTGGGCTTGTGGCACCAGCTGGCTGCCTGCCATGTTGACAGATCCTGGCATCTGATAGCCTCCCCTGGACCCTGTTGATCTGATGCTAGAGTACTGCTGGTTAGATTTAACAAATGCCCCACCAAGTGGGGCAGAACTGGGTGCATTGTGCTGCATAGTGTCATCCCTCAGTACTTCATTCATATTTAGTTACTTGGGAAAAATCTTTTTGTGTATGCTTAACACTTTTAATCCTCTTGAAGTCACTATGTAATATAAAGTATTTTTGTATTTAGCGAATCACTGTGTCGTAAAGACAACTTTATCATAGGTCCAAGTCCTAGCACAAAGTGCCTGTTTTAGAATGAGCACAATCAACTGTTTGTTTATATGTTGTCCCAGTTAAAAATTAACCTGTGTATTAAAGAAAATGTCATTAAATTATAAATCTTCAAACAGTTGAACAATTTACAATTGGAGGCATAGAACAAGCTCAGAAAACATTCAGTCAGATGGCTGGGATAGCAACTTCCTGACATGTAACAGTCACAACAAAATATAGAATATCATACAATACCCTTAAACAATTTTTGTTTACACCTGATAAAAACAAACAAAACTAAATAATACTGAGATGTAATCTATTTTTAGCACTGGTGGATTGAGACAAGTTCACTCACCTTAATTTTTCCCTGAGGGCTTTGAATAGTTTTGCTTTCTCTCCCCTTCTATTTCTTCCTGTATCCCAGCACCCCTCTCATTGACCTCCCTCATCACCTGACCTGGGTAGGCACACCCATACATAGTGATATTGACAAAACATCGAGACAGACAAACCAGGCGATCTAAAGGCAAATCTATGTTGGACATTAAAAATTTTCTGCGCAGTCTCCACTCTGTGTTGCTCTCATATTGATCTCTCAGTGAGTCTATGTCCATGTCTCCACATCTGGATTCAGATGCTGCCTTAGATTTTTTACCCATTTTGCTGAAAAGAAAATATATAATAATTAATAATAATTAATAAATCATAGGTTAGCGGTTAGGCCTAAATTTGATAAAATAAGTCTATCAAAATTATATTAATTCATGCAGTAATCCTAGCACATCTAGATTATATATAAGATTATGAGTCATTCATGCTTTATGAGTATGACTGGTGTACATAAAATATAGAATCTAGCCCCTAGGCTTACATACTACATACTGTACATACTTACTATAATTAATAATAAAATACTATTACTAATTACTTACATACTATATACCTAACTACTAAACATATATTAAAATAAGTAGGCCTAGGCCCTAAAATTTTAATTTAAAAAAGTCATTAGGCCTAGACATTCACATTAATTTTCATTTACTTTACACTTTACTTTACTCATTTACTGAGTTTAACAGAGTTTAACTGAGCTTTGACTGAGCTGAGGACATGAAGTTGATGGAAGTTTCATTAAGTCAGTTCATTAGCCTACTACTAACTTAAACTAAGTTGGTAATCTATCGTTATAGGTACGTCAAAAAAAGGTAATGTGAAAAACAGGTGACTCCTTACATTTTAATAATTATTTCACATTTTGAGGAGGATTTAAGTTTTGAAAAATACAAAAATGTTTCCTTGTTTCATTTATGTACCTGTTTTTAAACAATTGAATTAAAACTTTTCAGTAATAAATGAACACCAGCGATGTTTCCAACAGATGCAACCATGCTCATTTACTATAGTATAGCAGCCATCTTGTTAAAGTTTTATTTTTATAGACTTATAGCGAGAGATTCAGGCGGAAGTCACTCTATTTTACAAATGGCTGCTGTTTATATACTAAATATAGCAAATCTTGCTTGCAGACACTGTTGTTTAAAGTTAATTTCTGGCCTATATTGATATATTTAGCCATTGATTTAGGTTTATTATTCATTTATCTATAATATTTGACACAAACATATCAGTGAATATATAGTTATATTACGGCCTTGACAATGAGGTAACGTTTTTGTACATTAATAGCCGCGGGCGATTTTACGTACCCAAAACGATAGATTACCAATACCACTAACTAAGTTTAATATTAATAAATAATATACTTTAATATAGATCTAGAAATCTAGATCTAGATCTAGGTCTAGAGTCTAGAGTCTAGAGTCTAGATCTATGTCCTAACATTTTTAAATGATTTTATTATGAATAAGTGAGTAGAGCTGCGAGTAAATTTTTTAGATAGATCAATAGCCTCCCTATTATTTACCAATCAATATTTAATCGAATAACGAGTAACCTTGCTTTTAGTTTAGTCTAGATCTAATCTAGATAGATTTTAGATTCTGCATTTAACAAAATAATGAAAGTAACTTAGGGTCTAGTGTGGCGGAAGTAGATCTACGATCTAGAATCTACTAGATCTATACTAATTTTGAACCAGATATTTTGGTCCAAATTTGTTACTTTAAAATGCATTTTCTAAATGTTGCGTATGTAAGCAATGTTTATTCCAGGCAGAAATGAAATTTATATAATTTATATAGAAAATATATACTTTTAACAGTGTCCGCCCCCCCCCCCCCCGAAGAAAGTCTACCGCCCCCCCCCGAAAATTTCAAGTGCGCCCCCCCCCCCCGGAGAAAAAAGTCTGGAAGAAACACTGATTCAAGGCATCTTTCGCCCCCCCCCCCCCCCCCCCCCGAACGAAATGGAAATGTATGTCGCCCCCCCCCCCCCGAAACTATCCAGTGCCCCTCCCCCCATGAGAAAAAAGTCTAAAAGACTTAGATCTAGATCTAGCTAGGTAAGACCTATACGTCTAGTACCTAGTAGGCAAGCTAGTAGCTTTCATTTTAAAAGTATGTTGGTTCTGTCTTCCATTTTAAAATTAAACAATATTGAGGGATATTCATATTCCACATAAACTAGATCTAGATTTCTAGATAAAAGTCTAGATCTAGCTGTATTACTATTAGATCTAGATTAGATCTACATTTAGATTTCTAGATCTAAATTGTAGGCTAGACTAGAGTAATAGAACCAAACTATTTTGGACATAATCTAGAATCTAGGCTAGATCTCTAGATCTATATCGTCTGACACACTCTTTTGGATGCGAAGTTCTAGATTCTAGAGTCTAATGACGGCAGATCTAATTTAATACATTTTATTTATTTTTTCTAGGGCAACAACCTGCCCGGTACTCTGGTATCGGCATTTAATATTTATTAATGTAACGAAAGGTCTATAGAAATAGCCTCAAATAGGTAATCTATCGTTTTAAGTTTTAGGTGTGTAAAATCGGCCGAGCCTAGGATCTAGATCTCTAGTATTAGTAATATAGACCTGACCTAGTCTAGAATCTAGACTCTAGAATAGAATACTCTAGATCTAGAAATCTAGATAAAAAACTAGATCTAGATCTTAGACTAGTGTGCGAAAAAAAGCCGAAAAAGTTACCTCAGGACTCAGTTGGTCAACTACTCACCACTACACTAACACTTAGATCTAGATTCTAGATCTAGTATAGGGACTTGGATGAAATTTCATTTTTAAAAAAATAAAAAATGTAGTAGCACCAGTTTATAGAGCTCATTTAGACAAGAACAAAGATACTTTTATTTTAATTTTAGCTCAAACGGTTACGAAGTTATGAATTTTTAATGTATTTAATTTTCGGTTTTTTTTACTATGGGGTTTTCTCAATTTTTTGCTTCCCTACTTTTTTGGATGCGAACTAAAATCTCTGTAACTTTTTAAATAGCAGGTATTTTTTAATGAAAATTCACTAAGATCAAGCTTATGATATCAGTAAAAGAGTAAGATAAAAATAATTGAATTGGATGAGAATGATCATAAAAAATAATGTTAACAAAGAGGGTCACCCCCCTAAAATTTTTGAATAAGCGTCTTTGATAGGCTACACACAATCTGTTGCCAAATTTTTATTATATGGAATATCTTACTGAAAATTGGCCTGAATAGTGCCAACACTGTATACATTAACAGAAAGTCAAAATATTTTACTTAGCTTATGTGGTTTTATTACAATGTTGGACAAAATAAAAAAGTCATTTTTATTCTGCGCAACTACTTTTTTTGCAAGAAAGAAGTACAATGTTGAGCTGATTTTAGATTACTTTGCTTATATGCAAGAAATATTGTAAACATGAAGGTTATTATATACTTTGATATTTCCTTTGTTCAAATTTGATTTTAAAAATATTTTATTTAATGAAAAAGGGGTTTAAACTCATATACCCCCCTTAATTTTAAACAATAAATTCTGCTATAGGCAACACATAATCTGTTGCCAAATTTTTATTATATGGAATATCTTAATGAAAATTGGCCTAATTGGTGCCAACATTGTATACATACACACAAAGTAAAAATATTTCACTTAGCTTATGTGGTTTTGTTACAATGTTGGTCAAATTTAAAAAGTCATTTTTGTTCTGCGCAACTACTTTTTTGCAAGAAAGAAGTACAATGCTAAACTGATTTTAGATTACTAAAATTGTATCTAAATGTTGTCAATATGCATGATATTTCATCCCTGTTATGTGTATGTTATCATAGAATTGATATAATTTAATTTACAATTATTGTTGAACAAATAATTTAATAATTGAAATGATTTTTTTTATTGGTGGAGTAATGATCACCATTTAATGTTAAAGGTAAGTTTTATAATTAAGAAACATCTGTCATATATTTAAGTGACATCTCATGCTGTGTGGATAACATGTAAGTCTGTTAGCTTGTATCACTTTTTTTACTTTAAAAAATAACACCATCAATGATTTAAAAATGAAATCTGATTAAACATCTACTGAAGCTGTGTCTCCTCTGGCTGATAGCTTTTAGAACTGTAATAAAAACCAGCAACATCCATTCTTAAGTGGACCTATTTCTCCTTCATTGAAGTTGCTTATGAGTAGATCCACATCTTTTGATTCTCTATCCCCTTGTGAACTGGTACATTTTATCTAGGGCCAAGACTAGTAAAAAAGCAACTGAGATGTATACTACAGCAAAAATACAATAGTATCATATGTACTTCAAATAGGCCTACAGATGAAGACAGAACATTGTACAAGGATTGTAGTAATTTAGTAATAAATCTAAAACGAACAAAGTCCTAGAGCTATAAAGAAAATATAGGACTCCTAAAATGTTTGAATATTAGTAATATTGGTAATAAAAATTCGCTTGAAAAGCAATCAAAAGGCTAAATGTTTAATATAGAATTACCCTATTGGCCTATATCTTATTATAAGAAAATTTATAGACCAAATGATAGGCAAATGGAATTTTATATTAGATTCTAGATCTAGGCCTATATCAAGCTTTAAAATTTAAGAAAAATGTGGAAAGTACACAAGATACTATAGTGATAGCTAATATAAAATATAGAACTCATTCAAGAACAATATAGATCTATATCTAGGCCATACAATTAAAATGAAACAATAATTCAACTTGAAAAATTTCGCAGAAATCTATTTTTAGATCTAACTCAAAATTACAAAAAAAATGAATCTAAATAGAAAATATGCGCACAAAGTCAACAAAAAATCATAGTTTTATCAACATAAAATATAATTCTATAGTTTAAAATGATTTTAAAGTCAGATTCGTGTGGATGTTGCTGGATTTACAAATCAATTCAATTGAGAGCAATGGCGTCATTAACAACACAAGTACACTTCCGGTTTCAACCTCTGTCTTTCCCGGTAGTCGTAAAATGGCTTAAGGCTATACTTTCTAAACTATTTATAAAAAAATACTTTGCTATCGATTAACATTATGAAAATTTACACACATAAAGAAAAATGGTGATTATGGTCGGAGGGCTTTTTAATGGCCTTCCTTGTTAGTAAGTTTTTATGGTACAAAGAGTTTTACGTAGCCAAAGTTTGGCTCCAAAAATCCATTTTCACCTTCAACAAAATCACAAAACAAAAATACCGTAACATATGAAATCCATTTGTTTTTCAGAATCAGTCATCAAATTATTAGTAGCATCGGCGATTTTTAATAAAAAAATTTTTTTCGATCATCACCCGCGACCGCACGGCTAAATCGACGAAACTCGGTATGGGCAGAAAACTCTCGTTTTTAGTGCCTCAAAATCTACGTCATCCAAGTCCCTAATCTAGTATTACATATTACATAGTAATAGTATAGTTTTAATTTTAGTGGTAGAATGAATTATGATTGATAGATTCGTCTAGAGATCTACTCTGGAGATCTATATCTAGATTCTAGATCAGATCTGGCAGGAAACAGACTCAACCCTCAAGCATCTACTTTTAGGGTCGATTTTCGCCAATTTTCAAAGTAACAAATATTGACATATTATTTATATATCAATTTTGTTGCTTAACAATCGAGGAATTCAAAAATATAAAAATTAATAGCACTAGACATTTACATCACGTTCAAAATGTAGATTAACCACACTCACTCAACTGAAATTTTTTTTTTACATCTAAATGTAGTGAGGTCTAAAAATCCACGAAATTCACAAAATTAACAATATAATTACACAGAAATGTCACTTAGGCATACATTTATTTGTAATTATGTCAAACTTTACAAAATATATCAGTTTATAGCTTATTTCTATAATTATTCTTGAAAAAAAAAACGACCGCCCTCCCCATTAAAATTCTGGCTTTTAGAAACACTCTGGGGAAGAAAAAAATAACAGAGTTAAATATAGAAGGTCTATATAAAAAACATTATTAATAAAATATGTCTATATGCCAATTTTTATTATAGTTGCAGCATTTACATGGCTAATTATAATTGTTTAGTACTTTAAACATTAATTTAAAGTTACGACTGCCTGTGGCGTCATTCAAGTGTAGTGTCAGTGTAGGGGAACAGGGTGTTAGGGCCGGATACGATTTCATTAGAATTGGTAATGAACAGAATGTATAATTAGAACTGGCCTATAAAAACAATGTTGATGATAGATGCAGTTGTTTTAATGCTACTTTTAATAGATCAAAATGACAAACATAATTAAAACCTAAGAATCTCGAAGCGGTGACCTCATTTTACTGACACGGTTGTCAAATCTAGTAAGTAAATAGATCTAGATTTACGTAATTTTGAAAATACGCTAGATCTAGAAGCAAAATCACTTTTAAAAACTGAAGTTAGTGATTAGATCTATAATGAAATTGAAATTAACAACTGATATGTAAGTATCTTTTGATTTTAAAAAAAAATACGCTTAGTTCTAAGAAAAAAAAAATTCTATGGTGTATTCGATCCCTATCCCAAAATGTGCCAGCCATATCGCATGCGTAGTCAGCTACTCAGCTGCTTATCAAAACCATGAATTTTAAACTTATATAATAAAAATAGGTCACCCTAAAAAAAGAGTAAAATGGCTCCCGTTTTCACGACAGCCGTCACTCGATTCATAATTTACAGAGTTATAAAGTTCTACTTTCTTTTGGCAATAGATTTAAAGAAATATTAATTTGTTATTTCTCATGCGTTCCAACAAGTGTACCTAATTTTAATAAACATTAGATTAGTAAGGACTCGATCCTTTTTAGAATTAGCCCTCGACACTATACAGACTATTGCGAAGAAACAGACTCGCGCGAATGTCGTGCCTAGGCTGGTTCAGTGGGCGAAGATTAGAACCCAATTTCAGACGGAAAATTTTTACTTTGAAATAATTACATTATCAATTAATTTCGATTTAAAACAAATGGCTTAAAGTCAAAAGTAAACTAAAATTTAAAAACTTGGTTATTCGCAGCGTACTCAAGATTCTCGTGTTTTAAAGATAAATCTAGTTTTACTACGCGTGCGTGCCTGGTGCGAATATCTATTTTCCCCGACAGAAAATCATTTAAAAAAAATTTAAAAGTATCTACGGCAAAATAATACTTATATTTTACAGAATTAAATAGATTTAACTAAACTGTTATTTAAATACATGCCTCGGTGGAAAAAAAATATATTTTATTTCCGTAAAAAATTAACTGAAATCCCCACTTTCAACTACGCCAATGTGTCGTAATTATGGCCATTCATTTTGTTCAAATTAAAGTAAAAAACGCATTCAAATATACTTTTTTTACTATCATAATTTACAGCAATCATTTCTAATGAAAAATCTATAAAAATAATAGTTATTTTTACAATATATTATTTCTTACCTTATTAGTGCAGTACACGTACTTTTCCAAGTAGATCCATTCCGTCCAGGATTTGCATACTTCGCATCCTTCGCCCAGGCACAAAATGTCATAAAAAACGTATTCCACAAAAATGTTGCTAACGAAGCTTGTAAAAACATAGCTCTATTTATTAGTATAAATCAAATCCCCGAACGATGTCTGGTTAGAAAGTTTATGAACGGCGAAGATCGAATACGCATTTTGCGGTACCAATCTGTTTCCTGCCATCTAGATTCTAGATCTAGTCTTTGTTTATTAATTTTAATTGCAGTGATTTTGTTCTAACTTTCCAGATAGATTCTAGTATTTCTAGATCTAATCTATGTTCTTCTGCTAGAGCAATGCATGAATATCATTTTTTTTGGTAATCTATTGTTTTAGGTACGTAAAATCGGCCGAGGCTAGTAATGTGAAAAAAGGGTGACTCATCAAATTTTTGTAATTATTTCACATTTTTAGAAAGATTTATGTTGTAAATTACAGTAAAAGTTACAGAAATGTTTCAACCCTTCTTTTATGTACCTGTTTTTAAACAATTGTATTAAAACTTTTCAATAATAAATAAAGATTAGCAATGTTTTCATCAGAAGCAACCAAGCTCATTTACTTTAGAAGCCATCTTATTTAAGTTTTTTTTGGTAACATTTTAGCTAGAGATTCAGGGGAAACCACTCTCACTTACAGATGGCCGCTGTTTATATATTTGCTCGCAAACAAGGCAGTTTAAAGTCAATTTCTGGCCTTTATTGATATATTTAGACATTGCTTTTGGTTTATTATTCAATTTTCTATTATATTTGACACAAAAATATAATAATATAGGCCTACTTGTATTAAAGCCATATTAATGAGCCACCTTTCTCGCACATTACTCGCACGAATTCTTTTATGAAAGAAAGCAAATTTAGTTTTATTTTCTTATTTCAATTAACTTAAAAGCTTGTTATTAGAAAGGTTTTTAATATTTATTCTATCATTTTTTGTATGAAAGAGTGTGTCAACAATAATGATCAGAGGCATCTGGTTAAACACAGATGTGGGCATTTAAATACTAATTCTTTATCTCAATAGAACTAGATCTAGAATAATTTATTTTATAACACAATTCATCCCTAGGCCTATTCTGTATGATGAAAATAAAGATTCCATATATAATGGTGAGATCAGAATAAGATACAGACCAGAGATGCAAAAAATAGCAACACTCACTCTTATCATACTACAATACTACTCAGGCACTTGTTTTTTATTAATATTAGGCCCTATTCAATAACACAGTCATTTTAGTGATAAAATTGTTTTTTTTTTAAATAACTAACATTTTTAAGTCTGGTTATCTACCCTTACAGTTTTTATGTCCCACATTTTACCACAGACTTGATGTATTTGACTAATGCAGCTATTTGCCCAATTTGTTTCAGATAATTTCACAAAGTGAGCCATGTCTCAGTCTACTGACAGCCAGCTTGATTTTCTAGAGGAAGTCATCAGGTGGGACCAGGACAAATGTCAGCAAAACTTGGACCGGCTTCTGCCAGCACTAGTTGTATCCTTTAGTTACCTCCCCTGATAACTGCTCTCATTTTCTCCATCCTAGACCAGCTTCTCCCAGCACTAGTTGTATCCTTTAGTTACCTCCCCTGATAACTTCTCTTATTTTCTCCATCCTAGACCAGCTTCTCCCAGCACTAGTTGTATCCTTTAGTTACCTCCCCTGATAACTTCTCTTATTTTCTCCATCCAAGACCGGCTTCTCCCAGCACTAGTTGTATCCTTTAGTTACCTCCCCTGATAACTGCTCTTATTTTCTCCATCCTAGACCAGCTTCTCCCAGCACTAGTTGTATCCTTTAGTTACCTCCCCTGATAACTGCTCTCATTTTCTCCATCCTAGACCAGCTTCTCCCAGCACTAGTTGTATCCTTTAGTTACCTCCCCTGATAACTGCTCTTATTTTCTCCATCCTGTTTAAAAGTTATTTTAGACATTCACAGTGTTAGATTTTCCTTACATACAACTTTACAGTCCCACCTGAAGGAACAATCAGAATCAGAATTTTACAAAAACACAGGTACATTGGTGACAACTCTAAATGATTTTATTTTTACTGGGCAAGTTTTTCAGAGCCTATTGTCACTGTGTGAATGTTAAAACCAACATATTGTTGATCGGTGTCATGGTTGATGCTGAAAATATAGAAGCTGTTGTTTAAAATTAAGTAGCCCATTGTGTGAATGTTGATAGCAGTAAAGATGTTAAGACACATTTTTTACCTTTCTTCTTATTCCTAGGTCTACTGAAGCTATTGTGTTACTCTGTTTACCTTTCTTCTTATTCCTAGGTCTACTGAAGCTATTGTGTTACTCTGTTTACCTTTCTTCTTATTCCTAGGTCTACTGAAGCTATTTTGTTAATCTGTTTACCTTTCTTCTTATTCCTAGGTCTACTGAAGCTGTTGTGTTACTCTGTTTACCTTTCGTCTTATTCCTAGGTCTACTGAAGCTGTTGTGTTACTCTGTTTACCTTTCTTCTTATTCCTAGGTCTACTGAAGCTGTTGTGTTACTCTGTTTTACCTTGTGTGCCTCTAGAGGATATGGAAGACAAAATATTCAGCAACTTGAAGAGTTTTGTAAGTACTGAAAATATCACTGACATTAGTAGTTTCCTAAAATATAACTGACATTAGTAGTTTCTTAAAATATCACTGTCATTAGTAGTTTCTTAAAATATAACTGACATTAGTAGTTTCTTAAAATATAACTGACATTAGTAGTTTCTTAAAATATCACTGTCATTAGTAGTTTCTTAAAATATTACCGACATTAGTAGTTTCTTAAAATACTAGGCATGCTGCCCAGCTTTGCTTAGGCTTTCGAAAACATTAAGAATTTGCATGCTTAATTAATTCGCCCGAGGGTCGGTCTACGACCTCAAGAGTTATGAAGAGGTTCATCCGTAGACATTTTTTTTCGATTTATAGCTCATATAAGGTACCGGTCAGTCGAGGTCAGTTTTGACCCCCTTATCGTAGACTTTTCGGCCAACCGGCCCCCGTGTTCTGTCGCCCCAAGGCAAGATCCTGCCAAATTTGAAGCGCCTGCGGCGCCGGGAAGTGCCCTATCGGACACCCGACAATCTAGATCTAGATTCCTAAAAGAATTTTTTTTTTAAGTTTAGCCCGAGCATAATAAAAAAAAATACATTAACCAAGTTGACTTGGTGTGTCTCGAACCCGCACCACCTGCGTGGATTAATGTACACTAACATCTTCGCTATTTAGGCACCTTAAAATATATGGAGAATGAAACACGTATTTTAAAATCTTAACTTACGCGAATATGCCTATTCTTTCAAATTAATTTTTTTATCCCAAATTAGCCAGTTCCAAACAAAGATTTTGAATAAAATAAATAAGTCTTGAAATAGTTTAGTCCTAATATAGAAATTTATTTTTGGAATTGATTTTAGAGAAGTTAGTCTAAATCTAGATCTTAGCGTCTACGTCTAGATCTAGTTAGTAGTTATTGCGTAGATTTAGATTTAGTCTAGATCTAGAATCTCTAGATCTAGAATCCAAATACATAAAATAAATTTTATGAGTTTAGGCCGGAAAAATTGTATTGTATACATTTCATAGTGTACGTAGATCTAAATCAAATTTGAATGAAATAGTTCATTTCTTTTTATTCTAAACACGGCAGATGACGTCATTAGTTAATGTATAAGCAATAGTGACGTCACAGTTTTATGCGTTCTTTTTCACATATATTAATGCTTTTCCGGTTGCATAAATAATACTGTTTCTCTACATTCGAATACGCCTTTAATTTTTATTTTTCTTCTTTAAATAAAATTGTGGTTATACATTTAAAACATCTAACATATTATTTTCAACAAAAGTCCGTATAAAGTTCTCCATATATCGCTGCCGTTTCTGACGTGATGTCCGGCGAAAATATTTTGCGGACAGACAGAGAGAGAGAGAGAGAGAGAAGAGCGCACATGGCGTTTTATATATTAGGATAACTGACATTAGTAGTTTCTTAAAATATCACTGTCATTACTAGTTTCTTAAAGTATCATTGACATTAGTAGTTTCTTTAAATATTGACATTAGTGGTTTGTTGGTATAAATAAAAAACCTTTAGAATGTAATTTTTGAAATGTATGTAATTAAAGCTAACACACATTTTATCTTTGGACGACAGATCTGTAGTTTGATGGACTCAGCCCTCCAGACCATTGCTCAAACAGTGACCAACAAAGCCACCGATCTTAGGGTGGGGGACACAGTTGTGGAGTGTCTACAGGTAAGTACTTGTTGATGTGGGGTGTCTGCAGGTAAGTACTTGTTGATGTGGGGGTGTCTACAGGTAAGTACTTGTTGATGTGGGGTGTCTGCAGGTAAGTACTTGTTGATGTTGGGTGTCTGCAGGTAAGTACTTGTTGATGTGGGGTGTCTACAGGTAAGTACTTGTTGATGTGGGGTGTCTGCAGGTAAGTACTTGTTGATGTTGGGTGTCTGCAGGTAAGTACTTGTTGATGTTGGGTGCCTCAGGTAAGTACTTGTTGATGTAGAGTGCCTCGGGTAAGTACTTTTTGATGTTGGGTGTCTGCAGGTAAGTACTTGTTGATGTTGGGTGCCTCACGTAAGTACTTGTTGATGTAGAATGCATCAGGTAAGTACTTTTTGATGTTGGGTGCCTCAGGTAAGTACTTGTTGATGTAGGGTGCCTCAGGTAAGTACTTGTTGATGTTGGGTGCCTCAGGTAAGTACTTGTTGATGTAGAGTGCCTCGGGTAAGTACTTGTTGATGTTGGGTGCCTCAGGTAAGTACTTGTTGATGTAGGGTGCCTCAGGTAAGTACTTGTTGATGTAGGGTGCCTCAGGTAAGTACTTGTTGGTGTTGGGTGCCTCAGGTAAGTACTTGTTGGTGTGGAAACTTTAGATAACTTGTTACAACTGGCAGTTCAAATATTTTTTTAATGTGTTTCACAATTTTTTCTGCAGTGTCTTGTAGAGTTAACACAGTGTGTGGATGCATGTGTGAAATATGCTGTACGTGTATCCAAGTCTATAGCCATGTCGTACGTCCAGTCTCTGCCAGAATGTGCTGTCCAGGTGCTCAAGCAGACGTACACACATTGTAAGAACAGTAATGAGCTGTATGGTGATATGATGACTCTCCTAGCTGGCCAGCTGTCAACACTCTTCAAGGAGGCTCATACTTTACAGATGGTACATTCTTTATCCTTAACTCACACACATTTGTCAATTATCATTTATTCATACTTTTTAATATTGCCTCTAGAATTTTTTTCTATTTCACCCAAGTCTCGCACATTTATTTGTGCTGTTGGTCATTGTAAATTTGTGTCCTGTTGGTCATTGTAAATGTGTGTCCTGTTGGTCATAATAAATTGTTTTGTATTTAGTCTCTTCTGAACTTGTTGGACAAGATGGTCATCACTGGACCTCTGTTGGAAGATCACGTCCAAATTCTTTGTTCAGGTGGGTTTGCCTTAAGTGACTGTGCCAGTTTATTTTACATTTATAAAGTTTATGTGCTTTAGAAGGTTTTAAATAGTTGCACTTAAATTCTATATGTTTTCTTGTTGATGAATCCCCTGATGCTGCACCACCTGCTGTCCCCTGATGTTGCACCACCTGATGTTGCACCACCTGCTGTTGGCCTGCCCCAGTCTGTACAGGGCTGTATGAAGTGTGTACCATAGTCACCAGCCTGGATGTGAAGCTGGTCATCAGCTTATGGAAGGGGATATCAAGGTAGGGCTCAGCAGCTTTAGTTGGTCAGTTCTTGTGGGGATATCAAGGTAGGACTCAGCAGCTTTAGTTGGTCAGTTCTTGTGGGGATATCAAGGTAGGACTCAGCAGCTTTAGTTGGTCAGTTCTTGTGGGGATATCAAGGTAGGGCTCAGCAGCTTTAGTTGGTCAGTTCTTGTGGGGATATCAAGGTAGGACTCAGCAGCTTTAGTTGGTCAGTTCTTGTGGGGATATCAAGGTAGGACTCAGCAGCTTTAGTTGGTCAGTTCTTGTGGGGATATCAAGGTAGGGCTCAGCAGCTTTAGTTGGTCAGTTCTTGTGGGGATATCAAGGTAGGACTCAGCAGCTTTAGTTGGTCAGTTCTTGTGGGGATATCAAGGTAGGACTCAGCAGCTTTAGTTGGTCAGTTCTTGTGGGGATATCAAGGTAGGGCTCAGCAGCTTTAGTTGGTCAGTTCTTGTGGGGATATCAAGGTAGGACTCAGCAGCTTTAGTTGGTCAGTTCTTGTGGGGATATCAAGGTAGGGCTCAGCAGCTTTAGTTGGTCAGTTCTTGTGGGGATATCAAGGTAGGACTCAGCAGCTTTAGTTGGTCAGTTCTTGTGGGGATATCAAGGTAGGACTCAGCAGCTTTAGTTGGTCAGTTCTTGTGTTCAGCTGGCTATTTCATTTGTCTGTTATGGCCTTGTGTGTGAGCCAGTAGTAGATCTGGTCATGTTTTGTGTTGAAGACTTGCTGATGTTTAACTTGTGTGTGATTAACCTCTCAAGATTTAACACATCTATGTTAAACCTGTGTTAAACCTGTCATGGCCTTGTGTGTGAGCTAGTAGTAGATCTGGTCATGTTTTGTTTTTAACTTGTGTATGATTAACTTCTCTATATTTAACACATCTATGTTAAACCTGTGTCTGTTGAGCAGGATCTGCAGCCAACACTTGACCCTATTACGGGACCGCTTGGATGTGTCACCCCTCATCAACTTCCTGTGTGAGGAGATCCACCAGGGTTATCTGTACCTGTTTCAGATCTGTCCAGACTCTGGCATGCTGGTGAGTATACCTGGCACACTGGTCAGTTTACCTGGCACACTGGTCAGTTTACATGGCACACTGGTCAGTTTACCTGGCACACTGGTCAGTTTACCTGGCACACTGGTCAGTTTACCTGGCACTCTGGTCAGTTTATCCGGCACTCTGGTCAGTTTACCAGGCACACTGGTCAGTAACAATCATTAGACTGAATTAGTTGAACTAAAAAGCAGTGAATGTAAAAGTGAATACCTTTTTGTTTCCAGACAGATGAGAAGGACCTGAGCAAACTTGTGAAAATCCTAGGCTTCCAGATGAAAGTCTTGGTGGCCTTACTGCGAGATTTTGCTGACTACCTGGATGGATGTGAAACCAGTGTTGTCAATTTGTTGCTGCTATTTCACAGGTCAGCAGTTTAAAATCAATTGGTATTGACAAGTTACCTTGCTTGTTCACCATTTTGGTCTAACTATATTTAGATTTGTCTTTTCTTCTATTCTGTTTTCTGTAATCCTGCCTTATAATCCTACAGCTGTTTACCACCCAGCCCTATAATCCTACAGCTGTTTACCACCCAGCCCTTTAATAATGCAGGTGTTTACCACCAAGCCGTATAATCCCGCAAGTGTTTACCACCAAGCCGTATAATCCCGCAAGTGTTTACCACCCAGCCCTATAATCCTGTAGGTGTTTACCACCAAGCCCTATAATCCCGCAGGTGTTTACCGCCAAGCCCTATAACCCTGCATGTGTTTACCACCAAGCCCTATAATCCTGCAGGTGTTTACCACCAAGCCCTATAATCCTGCAGGTGTTTACCACCAAGCCCTATAATCCCGCAGGTGTTTACCGCCAAGCCCTATAACCCTGCATGTGTTTACCACCAAGCCGTATAATCCCGCAAGTGTTTACCACCAAGCCCTATAATCCTGCAGGTGTTTACCACCAAGCCCTATAATCCCGCAGGTGTTTACCGCCAAGCCCTATAACCCTGCATGTGTTTACCACCAAGCCGTATAATCCCGCAAGTGTTTACCACCAAGCCCTATAATCCCGCAGGTGTTTACCACCAAGCCCTATAATCCTGTAGGTGTTTACCACCAAGCCCTATAATCCCGCAAGTGTTTACCACCAAGCCCTATAATCCCGCAGGTGTTTACCACCCAGCCCCAGTAGCCAGAAGATGCCAGAGAAACATGAATCAGAGATCAGGACACACCTGGTGACAGCCACCAGCCCCATCTTGAGGTACCTGATAGAGAACAGGGCCTTAAGGCAAGCACTCACTCAAGATAACACAGGTGAAAACACGGGTCAATACATTACGTTTTTTTTTACTGATGCAATTAATTTGAGCCCTTTCGGTAATTGATGTCTTGTTTCAGACAAGCGAGATGAAGATAGCTTACCCAGACTTTTACTTCAGTTGATGGTGCTCAATATGTTGCCACAGTGTAAAGGTATTTGTGTTTTGTTCGCACAATTTAAAGCTAACCTTTTTGACCAACTTAATCTGAACTTATTTGACCAACCCTAGCTGACCTGTTTGACCAACTCTAACTGACCTGTTTGACCAACCCTAGCTGACCTGTTTGACCAACTCTAGCTGACCTCTTTGACCAACCCTAGCTGACCTGTTTGACCAACTGTTTGACCAACCCTAGCTGACTTACCTGTTACAGATGATGTGCTGACCACCTGGTTGTGTCCAGTCAACTACAGAGAGAACATTCAGACCAGAGGGATCATTTCAGCCATTTTTCAATCGGTCAAACTCTGTAAGTTTTTTACATTTCTGTTTCAGTCAAGCTCTGTAGGTTTTTACATTTCTGTTTCAGTCAAACTGTGTAGGTTTTTACATTTCTGTTTCAAACTGTGTAGGTTTTTACATTTCTGTTTCAGTCAAACTGTAGGTTTTTACATTTCTGTTTCAGTCAAACTCTGTAGGTTTTTACATTGTTCAATCGGTCAAACTATGTAGGTTTTTACATTTCTGATTTAGTTAGACAATGTAGGTTTTACATTTTTCATTCAGTACCTTTTCATTTGACTTATTGATTTTAAATACAGATATCATGTTGTTTGTATTTTCTATTTTTAGTTTAAGTCATGTGAGTTGCTTGTTCTGTTTTTAGGCGAGGTTGAGATGAGATGCCCTTTAAAGCTGCCCGGTGTTGTAGTGCCTGGGAATGCCCAGAGGTAACTTAGCACTCACAATCTTAATAAAAAACAATTTCTTTAATTTGTATTTGAAATTTTAAAATGATGAGTTTGTGTATCAGAGAGTTTGGGCCATGTGTTATAATTATGAGCTAGGGCCATGTTATAATGATGAGTTTGTGTATCAGGCAGGTGGGCCTGTATGAGTATGTGGTGACACACATCTGTGGCTACATAGGAGCTTGTCTGCCCTCACATATTGGCACACTGGTGAGAATTGTTTTACTTAATTACATTACCTATCCAAGAAGCGTCAAAATAAATTCTTTTTTTATCAGGATATGTACCAGAGGAGCTAACAGTTGTGATCAAAATTAGTTGACATTTTCTTTGGCAGCTTTTAGTTCTGTATTTTAAAAAAAAACTTTAAAACTTAACCTTGTTTTACAAGTTTTTAACATTTGCAACCAGGAAGTTAAACAATAATGTTCCACATTTTAAACCAGGAAGTAAACTAATGTTCTGCATTTTGAACCAGGAAGTAAACTAATGTTCTACATTTTGAACCAGGAAGTAAACTAATGGTCCACATTTTGAACCAGGAAGTAAATTAATGTTCCACATTTTAAACCAGGAAGTGAACTAATGTTCCGCATTTTGAACCAGGAAGTAAACTAATGGTCCACATTTTGAACCAGGAAGTAAATTAATGTTCCACATTTTAAACCAGGAAGTAAACTAATGTTCCGCATTTTGAACCAGGAAGTAAACTAATGTTCTACATTTTGAACCAGGAAGTAAACTAATGGTCCACATTTTGAACCAGGGAATAAATTAATGGTCCACATTTTAAACCAGGAAGTAAATTTATGTTCTACATTTTGAACCAGGAAGTAAACTAATGTTCTGCATTTTGAACCAGGAAGTAAACTAATGTTCTACATTTTGAACCAGGAAGTAAACTAATGGTCCACATTTTGAACCAGGAAGTAAATTAATGTTCCACATTTTAAACCAGGAAGTAAACTAATGTTCCGCATTTTGAACCAGGAAGTAAACTAATGGTCCACATTTTGAACCAGGAAGTAAACTAATGGTCCACATTTTAAACCAGGAAGTAAACTAATGTTCCGCATTTTGAACCAGGAAGTAAACTAATGTTCCGCATTTTGAACCAGGAAGTAAACTAATGTTCTACATTTTGAACCAGGAAGTAAACTAATGGTCCACATTTTGAACCAGGGAATAAATTAATGGTCCACATTTTAAACCAGGAAGTAAATTTATGTTCTACATTTTGAACCAGGAAGTTAACTAATGTTCCACATTTTGAACCAGGAAGCCGTGCTAGAAGAAAACTTGTTTGAAGGAACTCCCTTGACAGCAGTTCTTGCTGCAGACTGCTGGTGCTTTTTAGTCAGGTAACTATTAGGTGTTAATTAGCCAAATGAATTACTCGTTATTGTTTCAACTAATTAGCCAGTTAGTAAAGTGTTGGTCTGATGTACACTGGAGCTAATGGGATAAATGTCACTACTCTTAAGCTTGAGTTTTGTTGTGTTAATTTTAGGTGTTTTTTTTCTGGTGTTTAAAAAGTACTCTATGATTTACGTGTGTCCAGTAATTGGTTCAATCATAAGAAAACTTGGATTAATTTGACAGAAATCTCTTGTGTTGTGTATTTGTTGACAATTCTTTTTTACATCTTAAACATTACTTGGATAAATCAGTTTCTCAATTCAAAAACTAATGTTGAACTTTAAGCTCATCTAATTGACCCAAATCTAAATGAAACCTCCAGGTTTGGCTCTGCAGATTTCTGCAATGACCACATCCAAAAGCTCATCTCTGTTTACCAGAAGGTGAAGAACTCACAAGTTTTATTCCGTCTTGAGAATTTGCTCCAGCGGCTGATCAAGTTTATGTCACATAGGCACCAGGTAAGGTCACTCAAGTGCCATAAGCGGTCATGTCACGCAAACACTAGACGAAGTCATGTCACGACACAAACCTATGAGTGTGCTTCATAAGCTGCATCTCTTCCAGGCTGAGCTGGTAGACTGTGTGGCACCTTCCAACAACCCTGGTCTCTGGCTGGCCTTGACCCCAGACTGCCTGAATGCTGAGCTAGCAAACCAAGTGAGACAGGAGTTGGCTGTGTGGGCCGTGGCTGTGGCGCAGTCAGAGAGCTGTAAGGCTGCACAGCTTGTGAGTTGTTTTTTTTTTGTAAACAGATTTTATTTATTTCGTTCTCAACACATTTTTTTCTTTCTTAACACATTTTTTTTTTCTTAACAGAGCTTTTATGATTTAGTATATGATTGTAATTTTAAAAATATGCAAATTATTTGTTTGTTATATATTTTGTGATAGTTATCTTTGTTGTTAATTTTCTTTTGTTATAATTGATTTTTGTTATAATAAAAAACCTCTCTTGGCTTTAATTCCCTCGAGTTCTGTTTCCTCTTACAAGTAAATAACTGTATCCTCTCTCATTCGTTTGATTGGTTGATTTTTGTTCTCATCCCTTGGTGTCAGACATTGTCCCTGAAGATATTGACCTACCTGTTCTCCACCCCACCCAGCTGTTTATCTGCTGCTAATGAAGCTGCTGTCTTGGGTCTTGTATGCAAACTGTGGGCTGAGATCAATTCCATCACAGGATCAAAGAGAAAGTTTCGCTTCCATCTGCTGACAGAGTTACTGTACTTGACCAGGAGTCTTCTCCCCTATTTGGGCACCCATCAGATCCTACAGGTTCTAACTTTTTATTTGCTTTAGCATGAAGCTAGTGGCCACAGGGATGATATTCACATCACACTTTCACATGAAGCTAGTGGCCACAGGGATGATATTCACATCACACTTTCACATGAAGCTAGTGGCCACAGGTATGATATTCACATCACACACACACATGAAGCTAGTGGCCACAGGGATGATATTCACATCACACTTTCACATGAAGCCAGTGGCCACAGGGATGATATTCACATCACACTTTCACATGAAGCCAGTGGCCACAGGGATGATATTCACATCACACTTTCACATGAAGCTAGTGGCCACAGGGATGATATTCACATCACACTTTCACATGAAGCTAGTGGCCACAGGGATGATATTCACATCACACTTTCACATGAAGCTAGTGGCCACAGGGATGGTATTCACATCACACACACAAAAAAATAAGCTCTACAGAGAGTGTTGTATATTTAAAACTAGCATACCCCTCACCCGCGTCGCTACAGTCTCCAAAGAAAGGCTGACGCAGTATTTGAAGAGGGGAATAATTAATGCATTACCATTTGTGTACTTTAGACGCTTGCCCTTTTGAAAACAATGCAAGCGATGTGTTTCTTGGATCATAGCTGTTGTTTTGCTGGTTTCTCCACTAGCGTCCATGCGGCCTCATGTGTGCTGCGTGAAAGCCTTGAGTGTACATCATTCACCCTCTGTAAGAGTTAGGATATCTGGCGACTTTACAAGTGTGAGGGGACTCACCCTTGTTCAGTTTAATCAACAATTGTCATGTGCCATTTTGTCCTATTGTAGGGTGCACTTTAAAATCATTTCAGTTTAGTAAAGGATTATATTAGCCCACTCTATCTATAGTGTATTGCATGCTCTTAAACAAATGTAGGCACTGTAGTGCTCAAGGGAGCACCAAATCTCAACCTGCCATTGTGCCGCCCCTTCAAAATAAAAAATTTTCTCAACAACTTTCCAAAGTTACATTATGGTGATCAGAAAAATGGTATAGAAATGCATAACGGACAAACAGGCAAACCCATATACTTTCATTTTTACTTTTTGGTGTAATTGTACACAATAATTAAATGAAATTTTGATCTTTTACACCTCCCTACTTTATCATATATGGAATATAAAGGATGTAGGTAGATCTTACAAAAAAACTTACTCGAGATTGTAACATTTTGATGTTTTACTCCCAGAGCTGAAAAATTTAGTTATACAATCCTGTCATTCTGTGTGCGTGTGTTTAACTATTGTTTGAGTTATGTTGACGAAATTTCATAAATAAGTATTTTATCAAATTATTATTTTTCAACTTTTGAGCGATTTTTGATAACCGGAAGTGTTATGTATTCTACTTCCGGTTTCTGAAAAGCCAATACTTGGGTATAATTTATTTTAAGTTTGGTAGATATATGTATTAGATTGTAAGCTATATCGAACACGAGCCGACCCGCAGCGTATCATACGCCGCTATTTAGTTGTTTTTTTTTCTACTTTTCAGTAATTTATAATTTGTGAATTCGACAGTACCAATGCTGCCATTGAAAATATTTGCTTAAAAACACTACCCCCCCCCCCCCCCCCCCCCACGTGAAAGCAGCCTCCTCTTAGTTACCTCCTCTAAGTTTAAAATCGTTTCAAACTAAATTATCTGCCCCTAATAGCCGTCACCAAACCCGTCTCTGTGATTGTAAAATGTAAACAGAGTGAACACCGCTCACCAGATCATGTGGGGTGGGGGTGGTAGTAATAGAGAGGAAGAGAGGGGACTGCAAAGGCGCGCTTGCAGCTTGTTTTCTAACTGATCCCAGAAGAGAATTATATATATAGATTTTATGTCTAAAATAAAGCTCTAGAAAGATGATTGTTTATGTAAGTGATCATGTTTTAATGGTAGGTATTGACCACAAAATTACTTTTATAAACCATGTTTCATAAATTGTCAGATTATTCAAATGTTCTGGTTGATAATGAAATACCTTTTTGTTTCACTTACAAAATGAAATTTGTGCTCAAGATGAAACCAAGGTTTCAGAACATCAAATTTTCAGAGATTGCTGTCATCTTTTGTTCTGCAGATCTTGTCAAAGGTTCAAGAGCACATAACTCCCAAGGACCCAGCAGAACTTTTGGTCTCTTTGTCACATTTTTTATCAGAGTTTGGACACTTACCACCAGCCTCATTCAAACAGGTGGGTTTAAACTCTTGGCCATCAAACAGGTGGCCCTCAAACAGCTGGGTTTAAACTGTTGGTCATCAAACAGGTGGGTTTAAACTCTTGGCCATCAAACAGGTGGCCATCAAACAGCTGGGTTTAAACTGTTGGTCATCAAACAGGTGGGTTTAAAAGATTGGTCAAACTTTGTTGATTGATCTCAATATAAGACACAATTTGAAGTCTCTTAAAATGATTTTCTTTGAACATAATATATTGACATTTTTACCTTCTGAAGTTTCCAGTTGAAAATAGCTGACTTTTGTACCTTATGAAATTACCAGTTGATTGTTTGAACCTTTCACCATCCTACACCAGATAGAGCAGAGTTTACCTGAGCTCTACCACCCACTGCTGGTACATCCCCACCCCCTCGTCCATCACTGCGCCCTGGAATCTCTCACACAGCTTGTCTCACAAGACACAGACCTGGTACCTGCATATCTGCCTGGAGGCGGGGCACTGGCAGCACAGTTTGAGAACTTTATCAATAAGGTTGGTACACATCACTGGCAGCACAGTTTGAGAACTTCATCCATTAGGTTGGTACACATCTACTTCATCAATAAGGTTGGTACACATCTACTTCATCAATAAGGTTGGTACACATCTACTTCATCAATAAGGTTGGTACACATCTACTTCATCAATATATGGTTGGTACACATCTACTTCATCAATATATGGTTGGTACACATCTACTTCATCTATATGGTTGGTACACATCTACTTCATCAATATATGGTTGGTACACATCTACTTCATCAATAAGGTTGGTACACATCTACTTCATCAATAAGGTTGGTACACATCTACTTCATCAATAAGGTTGGTACACATCTACTTCATCAATATGGTTGGTACACATCTACTTCATCAATATGGTTGGTACACATCTACTTCATCAATATGGTTGGTACACATCTACTTCATCAATAAGGTTGGTACACATCTACTTCATCAATAAGGTTGGTACACATCTACTTCATCAATAAGGTTGGTACACATCTACTTCATCAATATGGTTGGTACACATCTACTTCATCAATATGGTTGGTACACATCTACTTCATCAATATGGTTGGTACACATCTACTTCATCAATATGGTTGGTACACATCTACTTCATCAATATGGTTGGTACACATCTACTTCATCAATAAGGTTGGTACACATCTACTTCATCAATAAGGTTGGTACACATCTACTTCATCAATAAGGTTGGTACACATCTACTTCATCAATAAGGTTGGTACACATCTACTTCATCAATATGGTTGATACACATCTACTTCATCAATATGGTTGGTACACATCTACTTCATCAATAAGGTTGGTACACATCTACTTCATCAATAAGGTTGGTACACATCTACTTCATCAACTGTTTCAGGTGCCCCATCAGTCCACTCAAGAATTTGTTCTTGTCAACTACCTCAAACAACAAGTGGAGCCTAAAGCCCAGGTAGATGGACCAGAGTCCATTAGCTTTCAACTGTCTGAAGACTTAGGCGAGGTTTGTAGTTTTACATTGATTTTGGGCTTTATTCAAGACGTTATCTCTGCTTGTATGTAGCGGAGGCCCCAGGCTTCAAACATCATTAGGTTTTGTTTTTCAAAAGTTTTCTTGACTGTTTTCAGAGGCCGACCAAAAAATGTAAGTTTGATGAGACGTCAGGTGGGGGACCAGGTCCAGCAGGTGAGGACTGTGATTATAACAGTCTGCTTGCCAGGCTGACAACATTGGCACATGAGGTGGAGCAGACGTGTGGCAGATCCCAGCCTCCTGATTGGTTCATGCAAGCAGCTCAAGTGGCCATGGCTAGATTGAATGATTGTTTAGCACCCAATCGCACATGGTTTGACAGCTTATCTTAACCCTGACCAGCTTATTGTTTGTGTTACTGCCAATTGTAAATGTGTATACAAAATAGTAATAAAATTGTGAATAGTTACCAACATTGATTGTAGCCACTGTGGTATGTTGCCATGTTATACACGTCAGCACTGGAACCCAGGGGATGGGGTGGCACCAATTTCCTGTGGAAACCCCAAGGCTTCTACAGTGTGGCTATTTGCACTGGCTCTACGGAGGTGGTGGGCACATAATCCACATTTGATGTGGACACATTTTGTTAACACAATAAAACTGCCACTGCAATATTGATCCAACATTTATTACATAGACAAGAAAAGAAAGCACTATGCCACTGAACTCCACAATAGAGAAAGTAAATGATCAACAAGTGTTGAGTATGTCAAGTTGTGACCAATCTTTTATTTCATCAATTTAAAACATCCAACTTTTTTATTCAACCCCCTAGAATAAGCTCAACTCCCCATGCTAGATTAGACTACACACAAAGCTACTTAAGATACATAAATTATTTCAATGGAAAGTGTGTTGCCTAAACTCTCATAAAACATGGATTCATTTAAAATATCCCCCTTATAAGTTTATGGAGACAAAACATGACGGCATTTCAAACTAATCTGTAAAGCAGAGAAAATAGTTACAGATATTGGGTAGCTGACCCACATGTGACCACAGGTACAGCTGATGCAGAAATAAATAATTGTGCAGCTGACAAGATGGGGTAAAGGAAGAAGTGAGTATTGCTGTCAGCTCTATAGTAATGATGATTGACTGTACATGACTCAAGGTCCAGCCACCAACAATGGTATTCAGGTTTCATTCACAAATCTTTTACACAATACAAACATCTGTAGTAATGATGATTGACTGTACATGATTCAAGGTCCAGCCACCAACAATGGCATTCAGGTTTCATTCACAAATCTTTTAAACAATACCAACGTATCATTTTCACACAGAATTTTGGCAGTCTAGAAAATGGAGTGAACTAATTGGTCCAAATCACACAACATACAAGGTGCACCCTTACTACACAAAATAGTTTGATCTGATGATAAATTTCCCCATTCAGACCTGTCGGGCACATGAACTAGTTGAAGTAGAGATCAGATTTCTTGACCTGAGCATATGAAGGGATGGTGTGTTCACCTTTCCCTGTCAGAGCAAGTCCAAACCAGTATCCAAACTCACCAACTTTGGGCTAGCAGTCAAGCGCTCTACCACTAGGCCTCACAGTTCTGATGATGGTTGATCTAAATATGATTTCATGATAATACTGATTGACCAACTAGAACACGAGAAATATCACATAGAGAAAGAATTGCCTAACTCTGACTACGTATGAAATCACATACAAAGCTACAGCTCATACAGAGCCTGGCAATAAATAACTACACGTAAAAATTTGACGTACCGGTACGAGGCTGACAAAGCCAGCATAAAATGTAGACTCACTGGTCAGAAAAATGCTGACACCATCATCTGACCAGTTTCCCCACTGACACCATCATTGACCAGTTTCCCCACAGGAAATATAAAGCAAAGTTTATTTAATATGTACAACATAGGCTTAGGTTCATTTACATGTACAAAAAAGGGGCTTAGGTTACTTTAGACAGGGTAAAGTCAGTTCAAAAGAAGTTTAAAAATAACTATTGGCTCAAACAAGAGTACTACGTTAGCTGAAGATATGTAGCTGAAAACAACAATGGTTACTTAGCATGGTGTCATCAAACCACAAGATTTGTTGACAACAGGTAGAAATCACAAAGCTTTTGATGCACTCTCTGTGGTCCACTCAGACAATCATTTCAGACAATCATTTGCCCATGTATACCACACATCCACACAGATGTGCCCATGTAGCCCACACATCCACACAAACGTGCCCATGTAGCCCACACATCCACACAAACGTGCCCATGTATCCCACACAGACCCATGTAGCCCACACATCCACAAAGACGTGCCCATGTAGCCCACACATCCACAAAGACGTGCCCATGTAGCCCACACATCCACAAAGACGTGCCCATGTAGCCCACACATCCACAAAGACATGCCCATGTAGCCAACACATCCACAAAGACCAGACACGTGTACAACACTCCACCAACTCCACAAAGACCAGACATAGTTTGGTACTGAACATAGATATGGCCATGTATGTTGGAACAAATGTGCCAGTGAGAGAATTGACAAAGTTTCTAGCAGTTTATTCAAAAGTTTCCCACTTTGACTGTTGGGGTTTGTCTGGGTGACCAGGGGCATTGTTCAGTTTGGTGCCACCAAAGTCAATGTCTATGAGATCACTGAACGTGTCTGATGCTTTACTAGAGGTCATGGCAGGCGAAGATCTGAGAGACACGGGTGTGGGGCTACTCCTGGCGCTAGAGGGGTGGCTGGTGGAACCTGGGGTCAGAGGGGATGGCCCAAAACTTGTGTTGGCCATGCTGTTGGACCCAGTGGATGGCCCAAAACTTGTGTTGGCCATGCTGTTGTTCTGCCCAGGCATGGCGGATTGGGGCCGCGAGTAAGGGGCATAACTCTTGGCTGGAAGCTTGCCTGGTGAAGCCATATGTGGGTTTGGAGAAGACGTGAAGGGCAGGCTGGAGCGCTGAAAGCTGTGCTGGGTTGTGGTGTAGACCCCCGGTCTCAGGATAGGACTGGACAGGTGGGGTGGGGCTGTGGGCAGGGACTGGTGGACAGGGGACTGGTGGGGGGAGGGGAGGTGTGAGGATAAAAACGGGTTGTTGGCGTGGGTCTGCCGCAGAGGCATGATGCCCACTGGGATGGAAATGTTGGGTCCTTTGGTCAGTGAAGCAACTGACCACTCGTGCATCAGAAGATCTGAACTCTCTCTACGTGGTGTGTGGCTAGATGCAACAGGATCAATCTTTGCTCCGTCAGAACAGCCATCTGAGGAGTTGGACTTGTTGGATGTGGCCAGCGGGTCGAAGAACTCGGTGGTGGAATCTTTGCCCAGTCTCATTAAATCCTGGTCGTCACCTTTGACACTTGGCCGCAGCAGCTGAGTCTCGCGTCTGAAGGCTTCTGACCTGGTCAGTGAGACGCGGCTTCCCTTGTTCCTGTCCCACAGCCTGACCTCCACTGTGTCCACTGTGTCCGAGTCACTGTCCTCTAGCACGCCGCCGCTTGTCTTGCCTGCTGACTTGGAGGACGCCAGTGGATCAAAGATATCCGAGTCTGTAGTTTCTGACTCGGTGGAATCAAACTTGATGAGCGGTGCGTCCTGCACACTTTGTGTCGGAGCGTCCTGGGGTGGGGCGCCACTGGTTGACAAGCGAGGGAGGGGTCGGGGAGAGACCTGAGCTGACCCGGGGCTGGCTGGTGGGGCGCCCTGACTAGAATTGCTTTTGTTCTTTTTACCCCTGGGTGGGGCTATAGGTGTAATGTCACTGGCTGGTGCTATCTTGGTGGCGGGTCGGATAAGTTTGTCTGACTGAGGTCGGATAAGTTTATCGGATTGCACTCGGATCAATTGATCAGTTTGTGGTTGGTAGACTTTCTCTCCTGAAATCAAATAGTTTGGATCAGTGAATCAGTTGACTAGATTAGGTTTGGATTAGTTGACAAGATTAGGTTTGGATCAGTGAATCAGTTGACTAGATTAGGTTTGGATTAGTGAATGAGTTGTCTAGATTAGGTTTGGATTAGTGAATCAGTTGACTAGATTAGGTTTGGATTAGTGAATCAGTTGACTAGATTAGGTTTGGATTAGTGAATGAGTTGACTAGATTAGGTTTGGATCAGTTGACAAGATTAGGTTTGGATCAGTGAATCAGTTGACTAGATTAGGTTTGGATTAGTGAATCAGTTGACTAGATTAGGTTTGGATTAGTGAATCAGTTGACTAGATTAGGTTTGGATCAGTGAATGAGTGAATTCCTTGACTAGATTATAAGCATTAAGTGACTTGACCCAGTCCCATATGACTTAAAAGTACCAACTAGAGCAACATGACTTGACCCAGTCCCATATGACTTAAAATGACTTGACCCAGTCCCACATGACTTAAAAGTACCAACTAGGGCCACATGACTTGTCACAGTGTGAGTTGACTGACCTGCCATGACTGAGTGCCTGTGGGGTGACTGATGCAGGCTGGTTCTGTCCTTCATCTCCTTCATGTCTCGGGGCAAAACTTCAAAGTTCAAATCTAAAAGCAGATAAATTTCCAAGACTGAACACTTTGGTGTGGCAACACTCACCTCAACGCTCAAGCTGACAATGGCAGCTGAAACAAGAACTACAACATTCTCAACAGTTGCCATTGTTTGCGTTTTTTTTTGGGAGTTAAAAGTTTGCATGGGAACAAATGAAATGTTGATTTACCTTCTTCTGAGCTGCCAAGTTTATCAAATAAAATGTTAATTTACCTTCTTCTGAGCTGCCAAGTTTATCAAATAAAATGTTAATTTACCTTCTTCTGAGCTGCCAAGTTTATCAAATAAAATGTTGATTTACCTTCTTCTGAGCTGCCAAGTTTATCAAATAAAATGTTGATTTACCTTCTTCTGAGCTGCCAAGTTTATCAAATGAAATGTTGATTTACCTTCTTCTAAGCTGCCAAGTTTATCAAATAAAATGTTGATTTACCTTCTTCTGAGCTGCCAAGTTTATCAAATAAAATGTTGATTTACCTTCTTCTGAGCTGCCAAGTTTATCAAATGAAATGTTGATTTACCTTCTTCTGAGCTGCCAAGTTTATCAAATGAAATGTTGATTTACCTTCTTCTGAGCTGCCATGTTTATCAAATAAAATGTTGATTTAACTTCTTCTGAGCTGCCAAGTTTATCAAATGAAATGTTGATTTACCTTCTGAGCTGCCAAGTTTATCAAATGAAATGTTGATTTACCTTCTGAGCTGCCAAGTTTATCAAATAAAATGTTGATTTAGCTTCTTCTGAGCTGCCAAGTTTATCAAATAAAATGTTGATTTAGCTTCTTCTGAGCTGCCATGTTTATCAAATAAAATTTTGATTTACCTTCTTCTGAGCTGCCAAGTTTATCAAATAAAATGTTGATTTACCTTCTTCTGAGCTGCCGAGTTTATCAAATGAAATGATTTACCTTCTTCTGAGCTGCCGAGTTTATCAAATGAAATGATTTACCTTCTTCTGAGCTGCCAAGTTTATCAAATAAAATGATTTACCTTCTTCTGAGCTGCCGAGTTTATCAAATGAAATGATTTACCTTCTCCTGAGCTGCCGAGTTTATCAAATGAAATGATTTACCTTCTTCTGAGCTGCCAAGTTTATCAAATGAAATGATTTACCTTCTTCTGAGCTGCCAAGTTTATCAAATGAAATGTTGATTTACCTTCTTCTGAGCTGCCAAGTTTATCAAATAAAATGTTGATTTACCTTCTTCTGAACTGCCAAGTTTATCAAATGAAATGTTGATTTACCTTCTTCTGAGCTGCCGAGTTTATCAAATGAAATGATTTACCTTCTTCTGAGCTGCCAAGTTTATCAAATGAAATGATTTACCTTCTTCTGAGCTGCCAAGTTTATCAAATGAAATGTTGATTTACCTTCTTCTGAGCTGCCAAGTTTATCAAATGAAATGTTGATTTACCTTCTTCTGAGCTGCCAAGTTTATCAAATGAAATGATTTACCTTCTTCTGAGCTGCCAAGTTTATCAAATGAAATGATTTACCTTCTTCTGAGCTGCCAAGTTTATCAAATGAAATGATTTACCTTCTTCTGAGCTGCCAAGTTTATCAAATGAAATGATTTACCTTCTTCTGAGCTGCCAAGTTTATCAAATGAAATGATTTACCTTCTTCTGAGCTGCCAAGTTTATCAAATAAAATGTTGATTTACCTTCTTCTGAGCTGCCAAGTTTATCAAATGGGATGTTGATTTACCTTCTTCTGAGCTGCCGAGTTTATCAAATGGGATGTTGATTTACCTTCTTCTGAGCTGCCGAGTTTATCAAATGAAATGATTTACCTTCTTCTGAGCTGCCGAGTTTATCAAATGAAATGATTTACCTTCTTCTGAGCTGCCAAGTTTATCAAATGAAATGATTTACCTTCTTCTGAGCTGCCAAGTTTATCAAATGAAATGATTTACCTTCTTCTGAGCTGCCAAGTTTATCAAATAAAATGTTGATTTACCTTCTTCTGAGCTGCCAAGTTTATCAAATGGGATGTTGATTTACCTTCTTCTGAGCTGCCGAGTTTATCAAATGGGATGTTGATTTACCTTCTTCTGAGCTGCCGAGTTTATCAAATGAAATGATTTACCTTCTTCTGAGCTGCCGAGTTTATCAAATGGGATGATTTACCTTCTTCTGAGCTGCCGAGTTTATCAAATGAAATGATTTACCTTCTTCTGAGCTGCCAAGTTTATCAAATGAAATGATTTACCTTCTTCTGAGCTGCCAAGTTTATCAAATGGGATGATGTTGCTGTCACACTCATCCACCGAGTCGCTGGAAGGGGCGGAGGAGGAACCACTGGAGACCTGCGGGAGAAATGTGGGGCTCATAAAGGGCTGACCCGCACAGGGACTGGCTGACCCACAAATGGACTGGCTGACCCGCAAAGGGAGTGGCTGACCCTAACAGGGACTGGGTGACCCACACAGGGACTGGGTGACCCACACAGGGACTGGGTGACCCACACAGGGACTGGGTGACCCACACAGGGACTGGGTGACCCACACAGGGACTGGCTGACCCACACAGGGACTGGCTGACCCACACAGTGACCCACACAGGGACTGGGTGACCCACACAGGGACTGACTAATTATACCTCGCCTTCCTCAGTGTAGTGTTTGGGCAGCATCTCCGCGCTGGCTGACCTAAAGATGGCGGCCTGGATGTCTTGGTCCCCCATCAGACTGACGTCCACTGTGTGGTAGCTCAGCCTCAGCTGGCTGTCATCATGGATCTCATCAGGCTGGAGGCTCCTGCAGGGCCAGAGAACACACTTGAGGGGGAGGTCATCAAACTTTACTGTCAGGGGGGGGGGGGGGGGGGAGGTCATCAAACTTTACTGTCAGGGGGGGGGTCATCAAACTTTACTGTCAGGGGGGGGGGGGGAGGTCATCAAACTTTACTGTCAGGGGAGGTCATCAAACTTTACTGTAAGGGGGGGGGGTGATCAAACTTTACTGTCTGGGGGGGGGGGTCATCAAACTTTACTGTCAGGGGAGGTCATCAAACTTTACTGTAAGGGGGGGGGGGGTGATCAAACTTTACTGTCAGGGGAGGTCATCAAACTTTACTGTAAGGGGGGGGGTGATCAAACTTTACTGTAAGGGGGGGGGGGGGGGTGATCAAACTTTACTGTCAGGGGAGGTCATCAAACTTTACTGTCAGGGGAGGTCATCAAACTTTACTGTCAGGGGGGGTGATCAAACTTTACTGTCAGGGGAGGTCATCAAACTTTACTGTCAGGGGAGGTCATCAAACTTTACTGTCAGGGGAGGTCATCAAACTTTACTGTAAGGGGGGGGGGGGGTGATCAAACTTTACTGTCTGGGGGGGGGGGGTCATCAAACTTTACTGTCTGGGGGGGGGGGGGGGTGATCAAACTTTACTCTAAGGGGGAGGTCATCAAACTTTACTGTAAGGGGGGGGGGGTGATGAAACTTTACTGTCTGGGGGGGGGGTCATCAAACTTTACTCTAAGGGGGAGGTCATCAAACTTTACTGTAAGGGGGGGGGGGTGATCAAACTTTACTGTCTGGGGGGGGGGGGGGGGGGTCATCAAACTTTACTGTCAGGGGAGGTCATCAAACTTTACTGTAAGGGGGAGGTCATCAAACTTTACTGTCAGGGGGGGGGGGGTGATCAAACTTTACTGTCTGGGGGGGGGGTCATCAAACTTTACTCTAAGGGGGAGGTCATCAAACTTTACTGTCAGGGGGGGGGGGAGGTCATCAAACTTTACTGTAAGGGGGAGGTCATCAAACTTTACTGTCAGGGGGGGGGGGGTGATCAAACTTTACTGTCTGGGGGGGGGGGGTCATCAAACTTTACTGTCAGGGGGGGGTCATCAAACTTTACTGTCAGGGGAGGTCATCAAACTTTACTGTAAGGGGGGGGGGGTGATCAAACTTTACTGTCTGGGGGGGGGGGTCATCAAACTTTACTGTCAGGGGGGGGGTCATCAAACTTTACTGTCAGGGGGGGGGGAGGTCATCAAACTTTACTGTCAGGGGAGGTCATCAAACTTTACTGTAAGGGGGGGTCATTAAACTTTACTGTTGGGGGGGGGGGTGATCAAACTTTACTCTAAGGGGGAGGTCATCAAACTTTACTGTCAGGGAGGGGGGTCATCAAACTTTACTGTCAGGGGGAGGTCATTAAACTTTACTGTAAGGGGGAGGTCATCAGACTTTACTGTCAGGGAGGGAGGTCATCAAACTTTACTGTCAGGGAGGGGGGTGATCAAACTTTACTGTTGGGGGTGGGGGGGGGTGATCAAACTTTACTCTAAGGGGGAGGTCATCAAACTTTACTGTCAGGGAGGGGGGTGATCAAACTTTACTCTAAGGGGGAGGTCATCAAACTTTACTGTCAGGGAGGGGGGTGATCAAACTTTACTCTAAGGGGGAGGTCATCAAACTTTACTGTCTGGGGAGCTCATTAAACTTTACTGTAAGGGGGAGGTCATCAGACTTTACTGTCAGGGGAGAATAATGCCATTCAATGAGGGAAGAATAATCTTTTTTTTGTGAAGGTAAGATTTAAAAGTGAAACAGTCAAGTTTTTAAAAGTGAAACAGTCAAGTTTTAACAAAACAATAAAAAAAAATGGGACAAAAAATCTCACCTGCTCTCTGGTCTACTGAAAGACTTGTTGGGTGGGGGAGGGCGTGGTGGCTGTAGAGAAAAATTTTACATTGAAACATTCACAACTAAGAGAAGGTGGAATACCTAAACTTGACCTTTCACCCTTAGTGCTGACCTTTCACCTTAAGCAAGTTGACCTTTTTAACTGTGTATACATTTAGCCTAGTGTGTTGACTCTAAACTGTTGATCTTTCACCTCAACAGTTTTGACCTTGAACCTCCATAACTTGACCTTTGAGCCACCAAGACCAAGCACTTACCCTGGCTGAGCGCGGCTCCACAGCTGAGATCTGTCGGAGAGACTTGGGCTTGGCGTGGACCAGCCCACCAGATGGGCGAAACACGTCTTTCTCTTCTACGTCAGTTAACTGGTTGGGGTAGGGTAGGGTAGGGTTAGTAGAGCAAGTCAGGACATGCAGAGAGGAGAATCATTTCAAAGTTGTACATGTAACATGTCACGTGTGGGATGGGGTGTGATAAGTGAGGTGTGGGATGGGAAGTGGGATGTGGTGTGATAAGTGAGGGTGTGGGATGTGGTGTGATAAGTGAGGGTGTGGGATGTGGTGTGATAAGTGAGGTGTGGGGTGGGATGTGGTGTGAGGTGTGGGATGTGAGGTGTGGGGTGGGATGAGGTGTGTGGGGTGGGATGAGGTGTGTGGGATGTGATGTGAGGTGTGGGACGGGATGTAAGGTGTGGGAAGTGGTGTGATGTATGTGTGGTGTGGCATGTGATGTGGGATGTGGTGTGAGGTGTGGTTGGAATGAGTGAACTAAGAAACATATATGACAATGCACCAGCTGACCTCAGTGAACTTGGTCTTGATGCCAGACATGGCTTTCTTGCCCTGCTGGGTTATCTGGACAAAAACAAATGTATCAGTGGACCAATCACAGGGCTTCACACAGTCAACATACCTTCAAGGGACCAATCACAAGCATTCACACTGTCAACCAATGGACCAATCACAAGCATTAACACTGTCAACCAATGGACCAATCACAAACATTCACACTGTCAGCATTCCTTCAGTGGACCAATCACAGGCATTCACACTGTCAGCATGCCTTCAATGGACCAATCACAAACATTCACACTGTCAACATGCCTTCAGTGGACCAATCACAAGCATTCACACTGTCAGCATGCCTTCAATGGACCAATCACAGGCCTTCACACTGTCAACATGCCTTCAGTGGACCAATCACAGGCATTCACACTGTCAGCATGCCTTCAATGGACCAATCACAGGCCTTCACACTGTCAGCATGCCTTCAATGGACCAATCACAGGCCTTCACACTGTCAACATGCCTTCAGTGGACCAATCACAGGCATTCACACTGTCAGCATGCCTTCAATGGACCAATCACAGGCCTTCACACTGTCAACATTCCTTCAATGGACCAATCACAAGCCTTCACACTGTCAGCATGCCTTCAGTGGACCAATCACAAGCATTCACACTGTCAACATTCCTTCAGTGGACCAATCACAAACATTCACACTGTCAACATGCCTTCAGTGGACCAATCACAAACATTCACACTGTCAGCATGCCTTCAATGGACCAATCACAAGCATTCACACTGTCAGCATGCCTTCAATGGACCAATCACAGGCCTTCACACTGTCAGCATGCCTTCAGTGGACCCATCACAAACATTCACACTGTCAACATGCCTTCAATGGACCAATCACAGGCCTTCACACTGTCAACCAATGGACCAATCACAAACATTCACACTGTCAACATGCCTTCAATGGACCAATCACAAGCATTCACACTGTCAACCAATGGACCAATCACAAACATTCACACTGTCAACATGCCTTCAGTGGACCAATCACAGGCCTTGACACTGTCAACATGCCTTCAATGGACCAATCACAAACATTCACACTGTCAACATTCCTTCAGTGGACCAATCACAAACATTCACACTGTCAGCATGCCTTCAGTGGACCAATCACAAACATTCACACTGTCAGCATGCCTTCAATGGACCAATCACAAGCATTCACACTGTCAACATGCCTTCAATGGACCAATCACAAGCCTTCACACTGTCAGCATGCCTTCAGTGGACCAATCACAAGCATTCACACTGTCAACATTCCTTCAGTGGACCAATCACAAACATTCACACTGTCAACATGCCTTCAGTGGACCAATCACAAACATTCACACTGTCAGCATGCCTTCAATGGACCAATCACAAGCATTCACACTGTCAGCATGCCTTCAATGGACCAATCACAGGCCTTCACACTGTCAGCATGCCTTCAGTGGACCAATCACAAACATTCACACTGTCAACATGCCTTCAATGGACCAATCACAGGCCTTCACACTGTCAACCAATGGACCAATCACAAACATTCACACTGTCAACATGCCTTCAATGGACCAATCACAAGCATTCACACTGTCAACCAATGGACCAATCACAAACATTCACACTGTCAACATGCCTTCAGTGGACCAATCACAGGCCTTGACACTGTCAACATGCCTTCAATGGACCAATCACAAACATTCACACTGTCAACATTCCTTCAGTGGACCAATCACAAACATTCACACTGTCAGCATGCCTTCAGTGGACCAATCACAAACATTCACACTGTCAGCATGCCTTCAATGGACCAATCACAAGCATTCACACTGTCAGCATGCCTTCAATGGACCAATCACAGGCCTTCACACTGTCAGCATGCCTTCAGTGGACCAATCACAAACATTCACACTGTCAACATGCCTTCAATGGACCAATCACAGGCCTTCACACTGTCAACCAATGGACCAATCACAAACATTCACACTGTCAACATGCCTTCAATGGACCAATCACAAGCATTCACACTGTCAACCAATGGACCAATCACAAACATTCACACTGTCAACATGCCTTCAGTGGACCAATCACAGGCCTTGACACTGTCAACATGCCTTCAATGGACCAATCACAAGCATTCACACTGTCAGCATGCCTTCAATGGACCAATCACAGGCCTTCACACTGTCAGCATGCCTTCAGTGGACCAATCACAAACATTCACACTGTCAACATTCCTTCAGTGGACCAATCACAAACATTCACACTGTCAACATGCCTTCAGTGGACCAATCACAAACATTCACACTGTCAACATGCCTTCAGTGGACCAATCACAAACATTCACACTGTCAACATGCCTTCAGTGGACCAATCACAAACATTCACACTGTCAACATGCCTTCAGTGGACCAATCACAAACATTCACACAGTCAACATGCCTTCAGTGGACCAATCACAAACATTCACACTGTCAACATGCCTTCAGTGGACCAATCACAAACATTCACACTGTCAACATGCCTTCAGTGGACCAATCACAAACATTCACACAGTCAACATGCCTTCAGTGGACCAATCACAAACATTCACACTGTCAACATGCCTTCAGTGGACCAATCAAAGTAAAATTTAGTCCCAGGGTTGATAAGCGTTGAAAGTGAAGTAATCATGTGAGAAATACTGAAGTTACATTGATCTACAAATATGTTGAATCAAATATGTGGGATTATACCTTTGTGGTTTTAAACTATTTAATTCAATCCTTTGACCAAAGTAATAGCCAAAATCATAACTAGCAGCTAACCTAATTAAAAGAGCTCAATTAATAATAATAATTGGCTAACACTAACAGCCAAATTAAACCACATTTAATCACTACAGATTAATTAAATATGACCAACATTTAATCACTATAGATTAATGAAATATGATCAACATTTACAATTTGACAAAAACATCTGTTTTGAGACAGAGATGTTTGATAATATTAATCAGCTGGTTGGCATTTAGAATAACTTAGGTTGTAACAAAGGGTTGGCATTTAGAATAACTTAGGTTGTAACAAAGGGTTGGCATTTAGAATAACTTAGGTTGTAACAAAGGGTAGGAAGTTGGAATAGGCCTGCAACACATGATTCTAATGACAGTTAACTTTCCACTCGTCAAATTTTAAAATAGCACCAATGGTTAAAGAAATCATGAAGCTGAAAAATGTTTTAAGTTTTAAACCATTGGTGATTTAACATAAGACAAGATGGGTTCAGGGATTGAGGGTGGGTGATGGTGTTTGGTGATGGTGTTTGGTGATGGAGTGTTGGATCTAACTGCCAATAAAAGCAACAAAGATGTGCACACAAAAAAGGTTGTGCAAGCAGGCATTAGCAGCAGGCTGGAGAACTATGTTCTGGACAACAAATGTGTCAATATGTAAATAATTCCTGATACATTAGGTTACACATGTATCAACATGTAAATAATTCCTGATACAATACAAATGTATCAACATGTAAATAATTCCTGATACATTAGGTTACAAATGTATCAACATGTAAATAATTCCTGATACATTAGGTTACAAATGTATCAACATGTAAATAACTCTTGGTACATTAGGTTACAAATGTATTTCTTGTCTCTAGCAGGGGACATAAATGGGTATATGGTAAGCATAGAGGAATGGGAATTGAGAGAGAGAGATCAATGGATTGATGGGTCAGGGCATTGGGGGACAGGGGATGTCAAGGAACTAAGGCAGGGGTGGGTCAAAGGATTGGGGACAGATAGATTAAGAGGACTAATCTGACTGACAACAGATGGAACTGAAGTGAAAGATTATTTGAGGGATGAGCGAGAGAAAGATGAATCAGGGGATTGATAAAAGATGGGTCAGGGGTTGAAGGTGGGTCAGGGGGGGGGGGGGGGTGAAGGTGGGTCAGGGGGGGTTGAAGGTGGGTCAGGGGGGGGGGGGTGGATCAGGGGGGTGGGGGGTGAAGCTGGGTCAGGGGGGTGAAGGTGGGTCAGGGGGTGAAGGTGGGTCAGGGGGGTGAAGGTGGGTCAGGTGGTGAAGCTGGGTCAGGGGGTTGAAGGTGGATCAGGGGGGTTAAAGGTGGGTCAGGGGGGAAGGTGGGTGATACAACAACAAGGGTTGACTCATGCTCAGACAGCAACTTACTGAGTGCACTGCTGTGGTCATCATTGGTGCTGCCTAGACACAGGAGGGTCAGTTAGTTCAAGGACACAAAGCTACTACAGCACAAAAACTCTTCAATAAGGTCAAGGCCACACAAAATAGCCACACTCTGCCCTACCCTGCAACAGTGAACCCCCACCATGCCACATTAAAGCCCCCACTCTGCCCCATTCGAACAAAGTAAATCACCATCAGTTATTTTTTTTATGAATCTTTGACCAAAGAGTTTAGATATAGTCCACAGGGTTAATTTATGATCTGTCCATGTTAAAAATAGCATTAGCTCCATACAGTTGTTAGTGGCAGGTAGCGAGTTGTTAGTGGCAGGTAGCGAGCTGTTAGTGGCAGGTAGCGAGCTGTTAGTGGAAGGCATAGAGTTGTTAGTGAGCTGGGAGGTGGAAAATGTCACCAACCAAAGATTAGGTGTTGTGTATGCTAGATGTTGAGTATGCTAAGTGTTGTGTATGCTAGATGTTGTGTATGCTAGATGTTGAGTATGCTAAGTGTTGTGTATGCTAGATGTGGTGTATGCTAGATGTTGTGTATGCTAGATGTAGTGTATGCTAGGTGTTGTGTATGCTAGATGTTGTGTATGCTAGATGTTGTGTATGCTAGATGTTGTGTATGCTAGATGTTGTGTATGCTAGATGTTGTGTATGCTAGATGTAGTGTATGCTAGATGTTGTGTATGCTAGATGTTGTGTATGCTAGATGTAGTGTATGCTAGATGTTGTGTATGCTAGATGTTGTGTATGCTAGATGTGGTGTATGCTAGATGTTGTGTATGCTAGATGTGGTGTATGCTAGATGTTGTGTATGCTAGATGTTGTGTATGCTAGGTGTTGTGTATGCTAGGTGTTGTGTATGCTAGATGTTGTGTATGCTAGATGTTGTGTATGCTAGATGTTGTGTATGCTAGATGTACATTCAGAAATTATGGCTGTGTCCATTTTTTAGCTGCTACACTTAAACTATCCCAACTAAACAAGACTTAACTATCCCAACTAAACAAGACTTAACTATCCCAACTAAACTAGACTTAACTATCCCAACTAAACAAGACTTAACTATCCCAACTAAACAAGACTTAACTATCCCAACTAAACAAGACTTAACTATCCCAACTAAACAAGACTTAACTATCCCAACTAAACAAGACTTAACTATCCCAACTAAACAAGACTTAACTATCCCAACTAAACTAGACTTAACTATCCCAACTAAACAAGACTTAACTATCCCAACTAAACTAGACTTAACTATCACAGAGTGAACTAGAATGTCACAAACTTTATGGGACTCAAATGTTTTGGGATGGGATCCACCAAGTTATTTCATGCTGTGAAAACTAAGCCAGCCTTTAAATGGCTAATTTCCCTTAACCTGACATACAAGTGAACATTGTAAATTACATATTTCTATTAACTTGACCATAAAGAGAAAATTGTAAATTACATATTTCTATTAACTTGACCATCAAGAGAAAATTGTAAATTACATATTTCTAATAACTTGACCATTAAGAGAAAATTGTAAATTACATATTTCTATTAACTTGACCATGAAGACTAAAACTAAGCTTTATGGTAACATAGCATGTGAAAAACTAAATTGTAGGAATAAAATATTTTTTTCCCTGTCAAACAAAAACTTAATTTAGTAACAGGAAATTTAATTTTAAGAATATTTTCAACATTTGAAACTTCAACCTGTAATTTGTTGTTCAAAGTTTAAAAACTTTGTGCTAAAACTTAGTGACTTTTGCTCAAAATTAAAAAAGTAAACAAACGAAGTGACTGGAATACACCCTCAGTATGTTGTTTTAAAAAGAAAAATTGACTTAATCTTACACTAAAAGAAAAATTGACTTAATCTTACACTAAAAGAAAAATTGACTTAATCTTTCACTAAAAGAAAAATTGATTTAATCTTTCACTAAAAGAAAAATTGATTTAATCTTTCACTAAAAGAAAAATTGACTTAATCTTACACTAAAAGAAAAAAAACACTTTGTAATTTCTCTTAACCTTAATAAATATTTCTTTAAGCAGTAGTAGCAGTAGAGTTAAGCACCAGTAGCAGTAGAAGAGTTAGACAAAATGAAACAAAGACATAGACAGAGATACCTTAATGGATTTACGCCGCAACTGCAGAAAGAATAAGAGTTTGTGAAGCAAATATTTTCAGCTACTGTAGTGAAACTAGGTAGGTCATGTATTTAACAGCAGCACGTTAAGGCAAATCACAGCAACATTGCTGAAGCATTTATGTGAAGTCAAATCACAGCAACATTGCTGAAGCATTTATGTGAAGTCAAATCACAGCAACATTGTTGCAGCATTTATGTGAAGTCAAATCACAGCAACATTGCTGCAGCATTTATGTGAAGTCATGGTGATATGGAAGTTCACCCAACCAGAACAACTTTGATGACAACAAATAAAAACAAAAAAGATTCTGTTTTAAAACACTGAGATACTTTATGGAACAGATGGAACTTTAAATACCATTTGCATAAAAGGAAAATTTAGAATCCACTCATGTTAAGTTAGTATTTTTTTTAAATTGAGTTTATAGGTGATCATAAATAAGATGAGTATACTGATTACAAACTACAGAGAATACAAGTTCTATTGGATGTGCATGCTCTATGCTGGGGACTACTAAACACACTCTCAACATTGGGGCAAGCTAAAACTGTATCTGTTGGTACAACTAGCTATATCTGTATCTGTTGGTACAACTAGCTAAGTCTGTATCTGTTGGTACAACAAGCTAAATCTGTATCTGTTGGTACAACAACTGGCTAAATCTGTATCTGTTGGTACAACTAGCTAAATCTGTATCTGTTGGTACAACTAGCTAAAACTGTATCTGTTGGTACAACTAGCTAAATCTGTATCTGGTACAACTAGCTAAATCTGTATCTGTTGGTACAACTAGCTAAATCTGTATCTGGTACAACTAGCTAAATCTGTATCTGTTGGTACAACTAGCTAAATCTGTATCTGTTGGTACAACAACTAGCTAAATCTGTATCTGTTGGTACAACAACTAGCTAAATCTGTATCTGTTGGTACAACTAGCTAAATCTGTATCTGTTGGTACAACTAGCTAAATCTGTATCTGTTGGTACAACAACTAGCTAAATCTGTATCTGTTGGTACAACAACTAGCTAAATCTGTATCTGTTGGTACAACTAGCTAAATCTGTATCTGTTGGTACAACAAATAGCTAAAAATTTATCTGTTGGTACAACTAGCTAAATCTGTATCTGTTGGTACAACTAGCTAAATCTGTATCTGTTGGTACAACTAGCTATATCTGTATCTGTTGGTACAACTAGCTAAATCTGTATCTGTTGGTACAACAACTAGCTAAATCTGTATCTGTTGGTACAACTAGCTAAATCTGTATCTGTTGGTACAACTAGCTAAATCTGTATCTGTTGGTACAACTAGCTAAATCTGTATCTGTTGATACAACTAGCTAAATCTGTATCTGTTGGTACAACAACAAGCTAAATCTGTATCTGTTGGTACAACTAGCTAAATCTGTATCTGTTGGTACAACTAGCTATATCTGTATCTGTTGGTACAACTAGCTAAATCTGTATCTGTTGGTACAACTAGCTAAATCTGTATCTGTTGATACAACTAGCTAAATCTGTATCTGTTGGTACAACAACAAGCTAAATCTGTATCTGTTGGTACAACTAGCTAAATCTGTATCTGTTGGTACAACTAGCTATATCTGTATCTGTTGGTACAACTAGCTAAATCTGTATCTGTTGGTACAACAAGCTAAATCTGTATCTGTTGGTACAACAACAAGCTAAATCTGTATCTGTTGGTACAACTAGCTAAATCTGTATCTGTTGGTACAACTAGCTAAATCTGTATCTGTTGGTACAACAGCTAGCTAAATCTGTATCTGTTGGTACAACTGGCTAAATCTGTATCTGTTGGTACAACAAATAGCTAAAAATTTATCTGTTGGTACAACTAGCTAAATCTGTATCTGTTGGTACAACTAGCTAAATCTGTATCTGTTGGTACAACTAGCTAAATCTGTATCTGTTGGTACAACTAGCTAAATCTGTATCTGTTGGTACAACTAGCTAAATCTGTATCTGTTGGTACAACTAGCTAAATCTGTATCTGTTGGTACAACTAGCTAAATCTGTATCTGTTGGTACAACTAGCTAAATCTGTATCTGTTGGTACAACTAGCTAAATCTTTATCTGTTGGTACAACTAGCTAAATCTGTATCTGTTGGTACAACTAGCTAAATCTGTATCTGTTGGTACAACAACAAGCTAAATCTGTATCTGTTGGTACAACTAGCTAAATCTGTATCTGTTGGTACAACTAGCTAAATCTGTATCTGTTGGTACAACTAGCTATATCTGTATCTGTGTAGAAGCTATAGCCTGAAGTAATTATGGTAATCAGAATCAGCTGACTTTTTCACTATTTTTTGTCTAGTGTGCCCACGCAACAATAGACCTCTAACAGTGAACAAGTTTTATAAACTCTCAGCTACTGAGGTTTTATTATCAACGCCATTAAGAAAAATTTTGAATTAATCCTCAAATAATAAGGTGAGTTAAAATTTTAAAGTGCAGCTATGAGTAGAGTTGTGATATAAACTTTGTTGTGGATGATGAACATCAGATGACAAGGACAAAAACAAGTTGACAGACAACAAGTTGACAGACAAGTTGACAGACAACTTACTTTCATTATGCCTTTGGTTCCACTCTTCTGAAAACAGAAATAGATAAAAAAAATTTAATCACCACTAGAAGAAACACAGAAGGAAACTTGACATTTTTTTTTAAACTTCACTAGAAGAAACACATAAGGAAACTTGACATTTTTTTTTAAACTTCACTAGAAGAAACACAGAAGGAAACTTGACATTTTTTTTTTAAACTTCACTAGAAGAAACACAGAAGGAAACTTGACATTTTTTTTAAACTTCACTAGAAGAAACACAGAAGGAAACTTGACATTTTTTTTTTAAACTTCACTAGAAGAAACACAGAAGGAAACTTGACATTTTTTTTTAAACTTCACTAGAAGAAACACAGAAGGAAACTTGACATTTTTTTTTTAAACTTCACTAGAAGAAACACAGAGGGAAACCGTGAAAGACACATGGGTTAGTAGCCTAAACAAATCAGAGCTGGTACAAGACAGCTGGACGTATACAAGACACTTGTACTACGTAAGACATAGGTACATCTACAAGAAATGAGTACATAAACGAGACTCTGTAAGATACAATATATCCATAAGATACATGTGTACTTGTACAAGACAGGTAGACTCAAGTTGTACATGAAGTACTCACCTTGGCTGAGTTAAAGATGTCCTTGTATTTGGACTGTGTGTTGAGTTACTCACCTTGGCTGAGTTAAAGATGTCCTTGTATTTGGATTGTGTGTTGAGTTACTCACCTTGGCTGAGTTAAAGATGTCCTTGTATTTGGACTGTGTGTTGAGTTACTCACCTTGGCTGAGTTAAAGATGTCCTTGTATTTGGACTGTGTGTTGAGTTACTCACCTTGGCTGAGTTAAAGATGTCCTTGTATTTGGACTGTGTATTGAGTTTGTCTTCATAAGCCTGAGCTTCCACCTCAAAAATATCTGTGTAGCCCTGTACAGACTCCAGGTGTTCCAGGCGGCCTCGGATAAACTGGAAGTTTGGAGTCATCAGTTGGCATTTAAATTGTCATGAGCTGTCATTTAAATTGTCATGAGCTGTCATTTAAATTGTCATGAGCTGTCATTTAAATTGTCATGAGCTGTCATTTAAATTGTCATGAGCTGTCATTTAAATTGTCATGAGCTGTCATTTAAATTGTCATGAGCTGTCATTTAAATTGTCATGAGCTGTCATTTAAATTGTCATGAGCTGTCATTTAAATTGTCATGAGCTGTCATTTAAATTGTCATGAGCTGTCATTTAAATTGTCATGAGCTGTCATTTAAATTGTCATGAGCTGTCATTTAAATTGTCATGTAAAATCAATGTTACCTGCTGTTAGACCCAGGTACCAGTAAAATCAATGTTACCTGCTGTTAGACCCAGGTACCAGTAAAATCAATGTTACCTGCTGTTAGACCCAGGTACCAGTAAAATCAATGTTACCTGCTGTTAGACCCAGGTACCAGTAAAATCAATGTTACCTGATGAAATATCTGCTTAGACCCAGGTAAAATCAATGTTACCTGCTGTTAGACCCAGGTACCAGTAAAATCAATGTTACCTGCTGAAATATCTGCAGACTCAACATGGCCTCCAGGAACAGCTGGGTCGAGGAAGATGGGCGTGTCAGTACAAAAGCTTCAGGGTCAAAGGTCACAGCTTCACCTGAACGAAATTTCAGGGCTTTCCTGTAGCCACCTGTCATGACAATATGACATTTCAAATGTCAGGGTTGTATGTGACAATATGTCATGACATTTAAAAACCATAGTAATTATTTTTTTCCCAGGTCATCCAAATATTTAATTCCATATATTTATTACCTGTAATTGGAGAATAAATATAACAGACTAGGAAAGAAAAGAAAATTTAAAAATAGAATCTCCATCTACATTAAGTTATTTAGCTTGACATGGGAAATATTACAAATGTTTCCATCACTCAGACAGACAAATGTTACCTATCAGCCTGACTATGGCTTGTAAAAATGCCTTTGAGATGCCATCGCCTGAGTTGAGCATCAAAGTTTTGGAATCTTTCTTCAGTTTCTTCTTCAGGAATTTGGACTGTGGAGGTATCAGACAAGTCATCAGCAGAGGGAAATGTCATTGACACGCTTCAGGCCTGAGTTAAACTAAAGGTTTAACACAACCTCAGGATGTGAGGTTAAACTAAAGGTTTAACACAACCTCAGGCCTGGGTTAAACTAAAGGTTTAACACAACCTCAGGCCTGGTTTAAGCTAAAGGTTTAACATAACCTCAGGATGTGAGGTTAAACTAAAGGTTTAACACAACTTCAGGATATGAGGTTAAACTAAAGGTTTAACACAACCTCAGGCCTGGGTTAAACTAAAGGTTTAACACAACCTCAGCCCTGGGTTAAACTAAAGGTTTAACACAACCTCAGGGTGTGAGGTTAAACTAAAGGTTTAACACAACCTCAGGACAACCAATACTAAATCTCTTTAATAACTAATCTCAGCTACTGCTAATAGTTGAACCGTTGAAGACAACCAATGCCAGCTACTGCTAATAGTTTAACACAGTTTAACCGTTTAACACAACCATTGCCAGCTACTGCTAATAGTTTAACACAGTTTAACCAATGCCAGCTACTGACCACATCCTCTGGAAGATCCTTGAGGTCGTCGTAGTCCGACACCACGGTGTTGTTGTCCAGGTCTACCACCACAGCATCCCCGACGTCCACACGATTTTTCTCTAGTTTCTACAGACACATTTGATTACAGACACATTTGTTAAGACACATTTGATTACAGACACATTTGATTACAGACACGTTCATTAACAGACACATTTATTAAGACACATTTGATTACAGACACATTTGATTACAGACACATTTGATTACAGACACATTTGATTACAGACACATTTGATTACAGACACATTTGATTACAGACACATTTGTTAAGACACTTTTGTTAAGACACAATTGTCTACAGACACTTTTTATTTACAGACATTTATTAACAGACACTTTTGATTACAGACACATTTGATTACAGACACTTTTGTTAAGACACATTTGATTACAGACACTTTTTGTTTACAGACATTTATTAACAGACACGTTTGTTTACAGACACATTTGATTACAGACACATTTGATTACAGACACATTTGATTACAGACATATTAATCAACAGACACATTTGTTAAGACACATTTGTTAAGACACATTTGTTAAGACATTTGATTACAGACACGTTCATTAACAGACACATTTATTAAGACACATTTGATTACAGACACATTTGATTACAGACACATTTGATTACAGACACATTTGATTACAGACACATTTGATTACAGACACATTTGATTACAGACACATTTGTTAAGACACTTTTGTTAAGACACAATTGTCTACAGACACTTTTTATTTACAGACATTTATTAACAGACACTTTTGATTACAGACACATTTGATTACAGACACTTTTGTTAAGACACATTTGATTACAGACACTTTTTGTTTACAGACATTTATTAACAGACACGTTTGTTTACAGACACATTTGATTACAGACACATTTGATTACAGACACATTTGATTACAGACATATTAATCAACAGACACATTTGTTAAGACACATTTGTTAAGACACATTTGTTAAGACATTTGATTACAGACACAATTGTCTACAGACACTTTTTGTTTACAGACATTTATTAACAGACACATTTGTCTACAGACACATTAATTAACAGACACATTAATTAACAGACACATTTGTTAAGACACATTTGTTTATAGACACTTTTGTTTATAGACACTTTTTGTTTGCAGACATTTATTAAGACATATCTGTTTACACACATTTGTCTACAGACGTGTTAGAAAACATCTAGAGTTGAGCCCAGTACAACGTGACCACAGTCAGAAACTCACCTCAATTAAATTTTTATGAACACCTATTAAATACGGCATTGGGGCGCTGAAAAAAAAAATCCTGGGCGTAATCATTTGTATTAAGTCTAAACGTAAAGTTAAAAATAAAAGTATGAGGTGCTTAATGTTTATATATTTTTTTTAAATTATACAATAAAAAACTGTACAAAATAAAATCAGATGTTTGGAGTAGCCACATTTTAAGTGAACAATTGTCTGAGGCAACTGACCTGATGTAGTCTATAAGGTGAGCTGGCAGGATAGGAATGTACAGGTGCTGCCTGGATGGGACAAAAAACTCTGGTCTCAATTACTGGACATCTCTGTCTCAATTACTGGACACTTCATGCATTTCAAGCAAACTACATACATGCTTTCATTCTCAACTATGTCAACCACTAGTGCAGCTTAAGAACAATAACCCCAACTTAGCATCAAGAAGTATAACTCATGTAGCAACAAGAGCAATAACTCTGGTCTAGTAACAAGAACAATAACTGGTCTAGCAACAAGAACAATAACTCTAGTCTAGCAACAAGAACAATAACTCTGGTCTAGCAACAAGAACAATAACTCTGGTCTAGCAACAATAACTCTGGTCTAGTAACAAGAACTCTGGTCTAGCAACAAGAACAATAACTCTGGTCTAGTAACAAGAACAATAACTCTGGTCTAGCAACAAGAACAATAACTCTGGTCTAGCAACAAGAACAATAACTCTGGTCTAGCAACAATAACTCTGGTCTAGTAACAAGAACAATAACTCTGGTCTAGCAACAAGAACAATAACTCTGGTCTAGCAACAATAACCCCTCCCTAGCAACTACAAGACAATACCAGTGCATGGGGTAGAGCAGGCCTTCAGCAGCGTGGATGCAAGCTGTTAATCTACTCAACTTCTTGGACGTCATGTAAATGCGACGCTCATGAAGCATGCTGGAACAATAAATTTTTTTTCTAAAGGCTGAAAATTTTGACATTTTTTTTTTCTAAAGATTTTGAAATTTTGAAATTTTTGTTTTATGTCTATAAGATGAAAAGTTTGACATCTTTGGTTTTTCTAAAGGCTGTAAATTTTGACATCAATTGTTTGTTCTAAAGACTACATTTTTTAGTTTTCCTAAAGGCTAAATTTTTTTTCCACATTTTTTAGTTTTTCTAAAGGCTGAAAGTTTTTAACAATTTAACAAATTAAGCTAAAGGACAGCTTGTTTAAAATGATGTTTTGGCTAATGGAATGTTGACCTTAGAAGACTAATTATGCTACATAATTAATGTGCAGTCAAGTGTGATCAACTAATGGTGTCAGTCATCAACTGGTGTCAGACATCAACTGGTGTTAGACATCATCAACTGGTGTCAGATATCAAATGGTGTCAGACATCAACTGGTGTCAGACATCAACTGGTGTCAGACATCAACTGGTGTCAGACATCAACTGGTGTCAGACATCAACAAATGGTGTCAGACATCAAATGGTGTCAGACATCAAATGGTGTCAGACATCTGATGGTGTCAGACATCAACTGGTGTCAGACATCAAATGGTGTCAGAGTGCAGGCTACTGGGTGAGGTGCTGATGTTTTTTGTCAGATGACATTCTGAAGAGCTGGGGCTTATTTCACCAACCAGGACAGGCTCCAGTGAAGGTTTAGTGATCAGTTAAAGGTGATATGTTAACCTTGCTAACTGAAACATACCTGGCAAATATCCTCATCATGTTGTCTAGATCTACAGCACTGTAATATTCTTTAAGGTTACGCTACAGGTAGAACAAGAACATCAAAGTTAAGTTAACATGAAATAATGGATGACATCTGTTGCACATGAAACAATGGATGGATGACATCTGTTGCACATGAAACAATGGATGACATCTGTTTCACATGAAACAATGGATGACATCTGTTTCACATGAAACAATGGATGACATCTGTTTCACATGAAACAATGGATGACATCTGTTGCACATGAAACAATGGATGACATCTGTTTCACATGAAACAATGGATGACATCTGTTTCACATGAAACAATGGATGACATCTGTTGCACATGAAACAATGGATGACATCTGTTGCACATGAAACAATGGATGACATCTGTTTCACATGAAACTATGGATGACATCCGTTTCACATGAAACAATGGATGACATCCGTTTTACATGAAACAATGGATGAAATCTGTTTCATATCAACTATCATCATCTAATCAGCTTATATCACCATTCAGATGAAACAACATGTTAACAGCAAGAATACACTTACATTACTCTGTATACTAGGCAGGGCATTGCTGTCTGGGGCTGTGAAACTAAACATCTGCAACACAAATAGAAAACTTGTCATAATTCAGTTTGTAGTTAGGCCTATAACATATGGAACTAGGCTAAAAAATGTATGGACGTGGCCTAAAATATATGGACATAAGCCTAAAATATATGGACATAGCTCATTTCTTTTCCCATTTAAAACATTTCTCAAAAGCAAAAAATTTCTGGAGTCGACGAGTCAATGAATTTTTTAGAAACTGCTCACATCTTCATTGGCGACTATAGTAACTGGCAGCCTGGGGGTGGGGATGTCCAGCTTGTAGGTCTTGCTGAGAAACTCTGTCACGTTGTTGCTTTCTGACCGGTTGGTGATCTCTGCCAGTAGGTCAAGAAGTTTGTAAAACACCTCGTACCACGGCAGCCAGCTGGATCAAAGCAAGTTGTCAGAAGAAAGTTAGAGCTTTGTTAAGAAGAATGTAGACTAATGTTAACAGCAATGTAAAAATTGTTAAGGGGAATGTAGAGAGTTGTTAAAGGGATTGTAAACATTTGTTATAATAAATTCAATCTAAAGTCACAGCGGACAGTTTATTGGAAGACTAATCAAAAAAGTATAATTTGAGCAGGGTATTTTAAAATTCCTAATTAGTTAATTTGGCATATTTTTTACCTAACCTTTATATAATTATATACACAATATAATGACAACACCCTAACCCCTACATTAACCCTATACAACCTAACCCTACATTAACCCTATACAACCTAACCCTACATTAACCCTATCCACTGACCTCACTATACACAAGCATGTTTGGAGTCCAGTGGAGTGACGACAGTAGCCAAACCTAAACATGCTGTCCAGGTCTGTCAGGACAAAGGAGAAGTGGTCCACAGTTGATCTAAAGACAAACAAAAAACTATACACACTTAGTCCACAGTTGATCTAAAGACAAACAAAAAACTATACACAACTAGTCCACAGTTGATCTAAAGACAAACAAAAAACTATACACAACTAGTCCACAGTTGATCTAAAGACAAACAAAAAACTATACACAACTAGTCCACAGTTGATCTAAAGACAAACAAAAAACTATACACAACTAGTCCACTGTTGATCTAAAGACAAACAAAAAACTATAAACACTTAGTCCACAGTTGATCTAAAGACAAACAAAAAACTATACACAACTAGTCCACAGTTGATCTAAAGACAAACAAAAAACTATACACACTTAGTCCACTGTTATCTAAAGACAAACAAAAAACTATACACAACTAGTCCACAGTTGATCTAAAGACAAACAAAAAACTATACACAACTAGTCCACAGTTGATCTAAAGACAAACAAAAAACTATACACAACTAGTCCACTGTTGATCTAAAGACAAACAAAAAACTATAAACACTTAGTCCACAGTTGATCTAAAGACAAACAAAAAACTATACACACTTAGTCCACTGTTATCTAAAGACAAACAAAAAACTATACACAACTAGTCCACAGTTGATCTAAAGACAAACAAAAAACTATACACAGTCCACTGTTGATCTAAAGACAAACAAAAAACTATACACACTTAGTCCACAGTTGATCTAAAGACAAACAAAAAACTATACACACTTAGTCCACTGTTATCTAAAGACAAACAAAAAACTATACACAACTAGTCCACAGTTGATCTAAAGACAAACAAAAAACTATACACAACTAGTCCACAGTTGATCTAAAGACAAACAAAAAACTATACACACTTAGTCCACAGTTGATCTAAAGACAAACAAAAAACTATACACACTTAGTCTACAGTTGATCTAAAGATAAACAACAAAAAAACTATTCACAAGCTCTTCACAGTTTATATAAAAAGCTCTAAACAGTTGATTAAAGCTTTGTCATGCACACTTCCTTGTCCAAGAGTACCACAAACAAATGTAAAGACTATGGGTGATGGACAGCTTACACTTCTGTCTTGCAGGGATATGCAAATTTTGGAATCATCATTAGCGCCTCCTGCATAATACAAAAAAAATTATAATTGTATCAAAAATCTGATTTAATATTTGGTATGTAAACACAATATGTATTGTATAATATTTGGTATGTACACACAATATGTATTGTCTAAGAGCAGCAGCAGGCAAAAGGCTAAACTATTTTTTACCTTGTCTTCATAATCCTGGGGATACTTCTGGATGATGAAAGGTGCTGAAATTGATAAAATAAAACATAGCATTGTTTTCAGTGAGAGAGCTGGAACAGCATGTAAAGAAAACAAAAAGACAGTATTTACCATCATCAGCGCCCTCTGGTTTAGCTATTTCAACAAACACCTCAAACATGCGCTGTGGCTTCTCCCTGAAATGTGTAAACAGAAATAACAAGAACAATTTTAGACCTGTACAAAATTAAAGCTTTCTGGTTTGTGTAAATGGCCTGATCTATACATACATTTTAAATAGGCCTATGGGCCTAATTGTCCTAATTTAATTTCAATGGTTTCAGCTGTAAAATGTTCCCCCCACAAATGTTTACATAATGCATAGGATAAATCAACAGTCAACATTAATAAATCTAACCTAATCAGAAGTGATGATATAGCTCAATCATTGCTCACTCTAGTATAGCCAAGAAAAATAAAATAATGCGAAACCCAATTTTTTAAAATTCACATTCATTAGGCTAAACAATTTTAAAAATAAGTAGGCCTTAATTGTCTATTTGGCCTGATAGTAATACTAATAGTAACTAATTATTACTAGTATAATAGTTACTATACTAATACTATCATACTGTATGAGTGTATGACAGTTCTCCAAACTATTTTAGTGGTAGTAGTATTAGTATTTCATGTCTTTTAAGATTAAATTAATGAATGCAGTGACTTCAGTATTCAATTATTTACTACTATATTATAGATCTAGATGCTAGATCTAGTGTGGTGATAAACAGCATCATGCAGGAAATAAAACATTAAAGATTTTAAAACACTTCTGTCTCCTACTCCTAAATGATGTAGCTAAGATTCACATTGTGTTAGTTAGGGTTAGGGTCACTACCACCAATATCTTTTTAATAGTTTTTATTTTGGTAATCTATCGTTTTGGGTACGTAAAATCGCCCGCGGCTATTTATGTACGAAAACGTTACCTCATTGTCAAGGCTTTAATAGAAGTGTATTGTCATATATTTGTGTCAAATATTACAGATAAATGAATAATAAACCTAAATCAATGGCTAAATATATCGATATAGGCCAGAAATTAACTTTAAACAGCAGTGTCTGAGAGCAAGATTTGCTATATAAACAGCAGCCATTTGTAAAATAGAGTGGCTTCCCCCTGAATCTGGCGCTAAAAGCTTATAAAAATAAAACTTAGACAAGATGGCTGCTATAGTAAATGGGCATGGTTGCATCTGTTGGAAACATCGCTAGTCTTCATTTATTACGGAAAAGTTTTAATTCAATTGTTTAAAAACAGGTACATAAATGAATCAAGGAAACATTTTTGAATTTTTTAAAACATAAATCTTCCTAAAAATGAGAAATAATTATTAAAATTTAAGGAGTCACCTGTTTTTCACATTACAAATCGCGGGCGATTTTACGTACCCAAAACGATAGATTACCTTTAATTTATTTTTAATCAAATTGGCTTTTTTATTGGGGTTGTTATGGCTTAATTATTAATTAAGCTTAAGTCTTAAACTTAAGGAGATGATAAATTAAAAGGCTTTTCAATAGGCCTATAAAACATGCTTTGTGTGATCTAGATCTAGATTCTAGATCTAGATCTAGAATCTAAGATCTACTTCTGAAACTTCTGAACTTGCTGTCGTTTTTCATTCGCCTTCCGATAATCATAATAATACAACTCGTGAGTTTACCTAAGTCTCGATCCCATTGCTTGAAAGATTTATATTTCTATTGTGTTACTACTACTAGATTAAGTCGAATTATCATTTCTTATTATTTAAATATAATAATAAAACTGAGACCAATTTTAATTTCATAATAAAAAATATTGGTTTCTGTCATTTTAAGTTTACTAAGGAAGCGGAAGTACACCCTCAAAGGCCATTGAATGGTGTACGGTGTTCGGCTAAAATAAAATATATAAGAGTTACCCGGGGTAACTTTTCATTAAAATTAAATAGTGACGTCACATTTCAATGATTCGGAATATGTGATGAGGGTAGGGGGAATCAAAAAGTGTGACGTTACACGTAGGCATTTTTAAAAGTATTTTTTTAAACTGAATTTAAGTTGTTGTTTTTTTTTTGTTTTTTTTAGCTTGTTAAATGATATTTGTAAGAATGACATGACACTCGTAGGGGGAGGGGGTCCGTAATTTTGTGACGATGTGAGATGAGAGGGAGGGGGAAATTCGTGTCGTGTGACGTCACACTTTTACATTTAAAAAAAATTTTACATCACTTATACACATGCATAGACACGTATCAAGTGCTACGTCAAGATTTTTAGCAAATACTAAATCAAGATTTCAACAAATACTACGTCCAGACTTTCATCACGTTCTATAAAGCACCGAGAAGTTTTAGATTTTCATTGATTCAACTAGAATCAGGGTAGTTACCAATGTAGTGATTAGACTAATAGTTGCTAAAATTGTATGTAAAGGCTAATGCGAGATCTAAGACATGTTAAAGCTAGGTTAAGGTCGTGGGTGCTATAGTTAAAAAACACTCAGTGTGTTAAGTCCATTTTCGTTCTGTTATTTGTGTTCATCACATCTGATAATAAAAACGAAACCAGGTTTATCATCAACAAGATTAAAATTAAAAACCAAACCAGGTTTAACGTCAACAAGATTTTATTCTGGAGTAAACAGTATGTAACAGTGGATTTTAATCTTATACAAAAACACCCATAAGCAGTTAATACACACTTCAGTTTATTTACTTTTTTTAATCTGTGCTGACCACAGTGCCCAGACTGTCCCTACTTAGTAATAGTAGGGTCAGTTTAAAAATAAAATTATTGTAAAAATCATATATTGCAAAAAAAAGATTTTTTTAAATAAACAATAAACAGATATGTAATATGTATTAATATGTAATAAGTATCTCAAAAATGCAGGAATTAAAAAAATAAATGGACATGGATGTAATTTTTTATATATAACCCTTCTATTTGGTCAAGAGTTTAAATGTACAATTGCTGTTCCAACCAGAGTTTCTTCCAGTCATCTCCCCCCCCCTCCACTAGGGAATATGGATTTTACTAGACCACAGGCTTTCTCTATGGGAATATGGCTTTTACCAGTCCAAAGACTGGCTTTATAGGAATATGGCTTTTACTAGCCCAAAGACTGGCTTTATGGGAATATTGCCTGCATAAATAAATATTTGTTCACATAGCCAAAAATAAAGTAAATCTTTGAAATAAATATAGATCTATATTGTATAACTGTGGAGTCAAATAAGTGGGAGAAAATAGTTGTATTAATATTTGGTAAAATGTAAGATATTTGTTGAAATAAGGGAGGAAATATGTGTAGGTTTATAAAAAATAGATTATAAAAATCAGTTACATTTTTATGCATATAAATAGCCTATATATATGTATATATAATACAGCCTACATGTTTTATATTACAAACTGAGTTGAAAAATTAAGCTTTAATTAATATGACTTCATCATAATTATTTAAATTTGGTAGCAGATCACATGTACTTTAAATAGCACCCAATTCTCTTTATCACAGCAACAAACAGTTTTTGAGCTAATAATATTAGAAATAAGAAAACTTTTAATAAGCATTAATTTTTGCAAATATTGTCTGCCAAAATGTAAATTATATTTTTTAAAGAAATTATTTCTATTTTCAAAAAGTTTCCCCAATATGTTGTATACAAGTTGTTTTTTTAAATATACAACAAACAAATACACCCACTTAAACAAACAGAAATAAATATTGCACATTGGAGCATTGAGCAGATTTCTTACAGGAATACAGGCAAACAAAAATCTGATCAATGGATAGATGTACCTTTGAACCTCACTTGTAAATTTGACTGAGATCAAATATCTAAACTACTACATGAAAACTTAATGTATGGTAAAATATTCTTAAATGTTACAAAGTTTAAACCTTACAGAGATAAAATATTTGCATGATTGAACTGATTCTTTGAGATTATAAGCACAATATTTTTGGACGGTATAGTAACAATAAGATTAACAAAAACAATATTTTTATTGCATAGTAAAAATAAAAATTGTAATTTAATAATCATGTTCTGAGTCAATAGTTGAATAGATTTACTGCTATATTTTTTACAACCAAAGGTTATTTCATTTTTAAAATAAAATTTTTAAAACATGAAGTTGAAATATAAAATTTGCTGAAATTGAAGTATGTACAAAATATTTCATTTAGGGGTCATCCATAAATGATGTCACACTCGTAGGGGGGAGTCCGTAATTTTGTGACGATGTGTGATGAAGGGGGGGGGGGGTCAGAACTTGCGACGTCACACTTTTGCATTATAAAAAAAGCAATGTTAGAAAATGAATTTTAGACTTTATTTCACGATTTAGACAACTGTTTTAATAAATTGTAATAGTTTAGACAAGATTTTAGAAAAATATTGATGTTTTAAAAAACATTCAACTGCAATTTTGAGGAGGGTTGTAGGATGAGGTGTGACGTCATTTTAGAGGGGGGGGGGGGGTCTGGCTTTTTGTGATGACGGAGGGAAGGGGGGAGGTAAAAATCGTCAAAAAAAGCGTGACGTCATTTATGGATGACCCCGAGTAACTGTACAATAATGCTGCTTACAAAACAAAGACAAGGAAAGATTTCAAACTTTCCATAAACAATTGTTTAAATTTAGTCAGTAGTTTTTTTTTAACATAAATTTTGTTCACTTTTATTAACAGTAACAACAAATTATTTTTAATATGCCTTTTAACATGATTAAACTATGTTTTTTAACACAAAATGCAGATATTAAGCTGCTTGAGTGGTTTTTATGAAAGAGCTTTGTTCTGATAATGAACAATAGCATTTAAAAGTTTTAGTTTAACATTGTTAAAGCAGAGAGTATTTCAGCTTTAATATCAAGAGTCTAAGGAATAAATAGAAAGTATAAAAAAGAGAAATATATAGGATATAAGTATTACATTTTTCATAAATATATATACTTATTAAAATACTTAATACAGGCAATAAGTATAATAAAAGCTATCACATATTTTCATTCAAGTGCAAAAATTATTTTAATACATTGTATGACAAATAAATTATGTAAAAAGTGTTGATGCATAGAAAGTAAATTACGTACCACTGTTAGTGAGTCATCAACAAAGACTGTTACAAACAGGATGGTTTTTTTAAAGTAAGTAATGCATTTATCACTTGTATGTTCTGTCTTTAAAAACATTATTATAGCTTTTAAGAATTGCATGTGTTGTTTTAAATTGTTAACAAGCACAATTTAAGGTAAATCTCTATGTATAAAACATGCGCTGCACTAAAATAATGTACAACTTGTAACATTAGCTCAAGGGCATATTTGCTTTCTGAATTAAAAAAATATATTTAAATTACATATGACACACACTGAAGTTAACTAGAATTGAAATAGAGAAGTCTATACAAAATAAAATAATTTTAGACTTTTTAAAGTTAAAGGCACAAAATGAAATGAAAATACTAGTGTAGGATACAGTCTCTTTTTCCAGCAGTGTAACATTAAATGTTTAAGATTAAATTATGTAAATTTCAGCAGTGTAACATAAAATGTACAATTTTAAATAACTGTATATTTCAGCAGTGTAACATAAAATGTACAATTTTAAATAATTGTATATTTCAGCGGTGTAACATAAAATGTACTATTTTAAAAAACTGTATATTTCAGCAGTGTAACATAAAATGTATTAATTAAATTATGTATAATTATTGAGTCTTCAGTTTATTCTGAACTTTTGAAACAGACCTTCCCTTATGATATGTTATGCCAAAATTTGTTGACAATATGTCAGTGTAGTTGACAAAGTTTACAGCTCTTCTGTTTGAACAACAGAAAAAATTAGACGGCAGAAAAAAAACTTTCACTCAATTATATTTACAGGAATGGCACTATGTCAGTAGTGTTGACAAAAATAGTGGAGAACAACAATAGAACTAATTAAACATCCAACAAACTAAAATAACAACTAATTAAACATCCAAGAAACTAAAATAACAATTTGTTATTTGATTCTCTCACTCAAAAAATGAACAAATCTTTTGCTGTAAACCTTTGGAGGTTTTGTTGAGTGATCTCCACAGCCATATTTGAGCATTTTCCAGTACTGTGCTATTTTTAGTCTCCAATCAAAGCGAGACAGGAAATCAACAACACCCAGAAAGTACCTGTACTCCGCCCCTTCTATAATGTGCAGGCCATTCTTGCAGTTGGGCAGCAACCTCCTGTGCTCCTTGTGAAAGTTCTCAACACCGTCTGCTAAACTTCTGGGGAACATGAGTCCTGGTTTGTACTCCGGCATCACCAAAGTGTTTGAGCTGAGTTTCTCGCTCTTTGTTTTCGAATTGTCCGAGTACACTAGAGGACTTGAGATGATATAAGGCCCAGAACTTTTGTCTGTGCCATTTAAATGTGTTCCATCACCAGAGCCTCCTGTAGAATCTACCTGCTTTGATTTTTTACTTGGTGATATTGATCTGTTCAAATACATTCAGTTTTAAATAGAAAAATCAATTACTTAGTGACTGACAAAACAACGGAAATATAAGGAAGAGACGGGATATAAGGGAAGATGACTATATGAGATTTCATTGGACAGAACTGTATGATGTAGCATTAGGGAGAATTACATTATGATGTTACAAGGGATAAAATTATGTCATTTAAATTACATAAAAACTCATGTTAGCTGTTTGTTTTTTTAACTTGACAAATAAAATCCACAGAAGATTCTTATTTTAGGAAGTTCATGTTAGAATGTAGGCCTACTCACATTCCGATTCTTTCAACAATTGATGAAACCTGTTCCGTTGCCATTTCCGAAGCATGTTTTCGTTGTCTACCAATGAGTAAGCTGTAATCCATACAGTTTAGATCACACAAAAACTTGGAATCTGCTTCTATCTGGGCTTTAAACCATTCCCCCTGATCACCTGGTCATCAATTTGTTTAAAATTTAGTTGCTTCAATGGTGTCAACAAACACATAATAAGCTGGCATAAATGTTTAGCATTCTATTGTAAGGGAGACACATTGAAACTAGCATTTGTTTCCCTTTGCCCTGTCAATCTTTCTGGATTGTTCTGTGTTTGGTTTTTTTTTTGTTGTTCCCTCACTAAGAAAATTTGGTTACATTTTCAGTTGTCAGGGTCAGTTGTCAGGGTCAGTTGTTAGGGTCAGTTGTCAGGGTCAGTTGTTGTCAGGGTCAGTTGTTGTCAGGGTCAGTTGTTAGGGTCAGTTGTCAGGGTCAGTTGTTGTCAGGGTCAGTTGTCAGGGTCAGTTGTCAGGGTCAGTTGTCAGGGTCAGTTGTTGTCAGGGTCAGTTGTTGTCAGGGTCAGTTGTTAGGGTCAGTTGTCAGGGTCAGTTGTTGTCAGGGTCAGTTGTCAGGGTCAGTTGTCAGGGTCAGTTGTTGTCAGGGTCAGTTGTTGTCAGGGTCAGTTGTTAGGGTCAGTTGTCAGGGTCAGTTGTCAGGGTCAGTTGTCACTGTCAGTTGTCACGGTCAGTTGTCACTGTCAGTTGTCACTGTCAGTTGTCAGCTGTCAGTTGTCAGGGTCAGTTGTTGTCAGGGTCAGTTGTCAGGGTCAGTTGTTGTCAGGGTCAGCTGTCAGGGTCAGTTGTCAGGGTCAGTTGTCAGGGTCAGCTGTCCATTATAAAATTACATAAAAATAAATTGGAATGACAAAATAACTAATATTTCATCATTTTGAATACTTAAATTGGTACCATTGAACAAACCATTTATAATATAAGTGTCAGAACTATGTATTAAGTATCTTTAATGTTTGTAAGTATAGATGACTGAACTTACCAAAATCTAACTCATCGTTCAGAAAGTTCCTGTCCTTCAAAACTGTGATAACATTTGATCCTTCAGGTCTAGGCTGTAGATTTTTTTAATGTCGTTTTAATTTTTAACTTAATATTAAACAACAATATTTAAATCTTTATTTGAGTTGCTCTTCAAATAAGAGAAAAAAAGTTGTTTGTTCAGTCAGTGTGAACCAAGAATACCTGACGCTAACCCAAGTATTTTCAGTCTGGATATTTATCATCCTTGACTCTAGGACAACCCCCACACCTGATAAGTTACATGCTGGGCAAAACTTATGTCCCATAATCACCACAAAAGATTTTAGAAGTTTCTAAACTTGACTAATGATAAACTTTGTCTCCAAATTAATGTAATGCTCCTAACTGTATTCTATGTTTTACAATATCAAGTTTGCCAAATTCAAAAGTCAAACAAAACAGATATTGTATTAACAAATATATAATGTTTTAGCACAACTAATTCCCCCTAACGCCACTACTACCCCCTAACGCCACTACCTCCCCCTAACGCCACTACTTCCCCCTAACGCCACTACTTCCCCCTAACGCCACTACCTCCCCCTAACGCCACTACTTCCCCCTAACGCCACTACTTCCCCCTAACGCCACTACTTCCCCCTAGAGCAACTTACATGTTGGTACCTGCCAGCAGTGCAACCTTTAATGTCAAACCGATCTTCAATTCTTTCTGATGGGTAGAATATACTTTGCATGACTAGAAAATATTTCTTTGGTTTCCCACTGATCTTGATGGCATAACAGCCAATATATTTCACCAGTAGCGAGTGAGGGTAGGAGATGAAATGCTGCATATAGCTCCTACAGCCAGAACAAAATCGTTTTAATAATCTCACAGAAACTTAAAACCTTTAATAATCTGACAGAAACTTCAAACTTTTAATAATCTGACAGAAACTTCAAACTTTTAATAATCTGACAGAAACTTTAAACTTTTAATAATGTAACAGAAATTCTAATAATGTAACACAAATTTTAAAAGCTTTCAAATATCTCGGAGTGAAACTTACCTTAGTATAGATAAAAAGAAAGTCACATCCCTCTTACGGTTGGATTTAAACATGTACTGCATATCATGGCTACAAGAAAGAAAAAAATGTTACTTCTTGTGGCAGATGTTTTAAAAGAAATGCAATCCATCCGATATTGGGGAAGGGGGGGGGGGGGGGTATGAAAGAAACTTTGTCTACAATAGTAGCGAACTCAAATAAAAGAAATGAGTTGAAAAAAAGTTGACAATGTAAGTAATCAGAGTAGCTATTTAAATTAAAATCAATACGTAGACATTTATTTAGGAAATTAAAATCAAAGTAACTTAAGTAAAAAAAAAATGTAAACTTTATTTTTTTTAAATATTTAATTTTACTACTAGGATAATTAGATATAATTCAACTGTAAGAACTATAAATATAATCAATGTAGCCTTTTATCTTAACTGTTTAAACTGGTCACCTCAAAAAGAAATCCTGGCCACTTTTGGAGTTGCTTATAAATTCAAAGTAGGGCAGGTTGGCTGGTGCCACAGAGTTAATGTAATCACTTTCCTCTACCCCTAGTGCTCTTCTAATGGTGGCGAATGCTGAGCTAGAGTAGCTTTCGAACTCAAAAGCCTGAAATCATAGAACATTTTACTGAAATATTTAAAATAAATTATTTACTTATACTTTATAAAAAAACTTAAAACCAATTAATTGAATTCATTTTGTAAAGGGTAGCCAAGATGGAATCTCAAGAGAGATAGGATACAGCAACATTTACTATAAGCAAGCAAAATTTGTAAACTTTTTGACATCAACTCTATCTTTATTCAAACTTTGAATAAAGTAAAAATAATACCAGTGGATTTATTTAAAATTTTAGGGACATCCAACAAGTTATTGATTGAGATATTCTGTACACCAGTAAGCACACTTAAAATGCTGTACCTTTCCATTCAAAGTAACGGTTGTCTTGATAACATCTTCAAAGTCTTGAGCTGTTAATTCTCTCTATAAAAATAATGACATTACTTTAACTTAATACAAAACACAATTATCTAATATAGATTTATAATTGCTATTGAAATAAAGCATTTTATAAACTATATGGAAATGCATAATGATCAAACAGCTCACTTACTTTTGGTGAAACTTTCAGCCCACCCTGTTTGAAGAGTTCTCTTATTCCTTCACGTATACATGAGAGCAGTTTAAAATGAGGATGGCTCTTATTTACTGGTATAACACCTTTTTTTGTCAGCCGTCTGCGAAGGTAATACCACCTACTATGTTTTCTCACTCTGCTGATTCAAAATTAAAATAGTTACAGAGAATAGAAAAAATTATAAGTTATAATTATAAGCATTTTTACACTGATGTATGTAAGTATGGATCATATAAGTTCATTTAGTTGTAAGCTACAAACATTTGAAAAGAGTGAATAAAACATGCTTACTTCCTGTTTTCGCTTTCACTGAAAGATGTTGAAGGACTTAGAGAGTGGATAGAAACGTTTGGAGAAATAGGGGCAACAGAGTTGTGTGGTATTTTCCGTGGGTTGTATCTAACAGAGGTTTGGTGTTTTCTTGGGGCTGGGGACACATCATTGTGAGCTACTGAAGTCTTTCTGTCATCACTTGACTCAGACATTGCTATCAAACATGTATTCCTCTTCTAGGAAAGATAACAAAAGCTTTGTTACATCTATTTGAGTTCATTAAAAGATAACAGAGGGTAAGTATACCATGTTACAAAAACTGCTATCTCAACTAATAATTCATATTTTTATTTTAAAAAATTATCAACAATGAAGAAAGGGAAATGCATTCTATTTTTAGATATGACGCAACTTGACTAATAAATCTAGCCAAAGGATTGGATTTTGGCGCTGCACACATTTTCCCGCACTTTGTTTTCTGCAAAAATATTATAATAAAATGGCATTATAGGGGGGTGATATTTCTGGAATAGTGACCACACGTACGGACCTGAGAATTATTCCCAGACGTTGTCATGAATATTAAGCTAAGACTATGAACCATTGCTTATCCATACACTGGTTAACATTAGAAGCGTAGTTTAGAAGTTATTTGATTTTAAGTTCACGTTAACACAAAAATAAAAACAGCTGCTTTTACTTAAGCGCCGCTTGCAATATAAATAAAGAAATTAGGTCAAAAGTACACTATACTATTCTTGATTAACAGACTTAATTAGAAATGGGTAATTCTGATTATTAAAATTGACGATGGCTTCAAAATCATTGGTTTTATCCCTCAACCCCTTAATGAAAACGAAACCGCGCCACCATCTTAGTAAATCACTTTGAGAGCTTGCGCCGTGAGATAATGTAAACAAACAAACCAGGAAGCCGTAAATCCAACTGCCTAGTTTATTTGGAGGAGATGGGGCAGATTCAATGATATGTGATGACATATATAATTTGTATATTTAATAGCAAAAAACTATGAAAAACTTTTGAAATTTATATTCATACGATGGCAATTTAGGGGGTCTGGTGAAATCTGTCAAGAGAGTTAAAATTGGTGCCATCTCAGTTTTACTTATGTAAAGTAACTCCAAAACCAATTTTCGTAACCTGATTTAATTGTATACACTATAGGCTACTATATATACATTAACAATAATATGAAAAATTACAGGTTAATACTATTCAAAACATACTTATTAACTTGGTAAAATAAATATTAATAATAAGGGTATTTCAGATTTAAAATGTGTATTTACTTAGAATCTAGATTCTAAAAGTTTCAACCATTTAATAAATTATGGGATATGCCATTTCGGGCATTTACCATTTATTTTTAAATTTATTAGGCCTTATATTATTATTAATAATTATTTATAATGTATAATTATAATTATCATAATCTTTCAGTTTTTAAAATACTAGGTCTATAGTCTATAATAATTAATATATATAGGCCTATACACATAAATCAGTTCACTAGCTTTTAAAACGAGTTACACTTACTTGACTAGATTTAAACTAGAGTTACTAGACTAACTTAACTACAACAGGATGATCATTGTGGTGTCTGTAGGCCGCTGCCCTAACAACACGATTGCATAATTATATTTATTGTATCGACGCGTGAAGCGCACGTAGTCCTGTGTAAATTAAGAACCTCTCTATGCATGAGTTGTTGCCAATTCAATATAAGAGTATACCAAATATCGCAGTAAGCTTTATAATAGCTTTATCGATCGTTTTCTTGTTGCGATAATAACAACGGAGCCATTTTGTTTGTTTTCCTCGACAACAGGGACCGGAAATCGTAGTAAAAGTGCTTTTCTATTTAGAGAGTTAGTTGTCTGACTTAAAATACCGGCTACATAACCTAAAATCTAAAAAATAATTTTAAAATAATAAACAAGTAGATCTATGCCCTCATCAGAATGTCACAGAAAAAATAATCATAGATATATAGGGCCTAAAATAACATAAATTCTCATAACCATAACATGTTTAACTTCATTTTTTTTTCTTTAAATAAAATAAGATAGAAGCTAATTTTTATATTTATATTTTTGCATCTTCTGCTAGATTCTTGATCTTTTATCCAGTCCTAATGAACCCATAGGCTTTTCCGCTTTCGGTTTCGTTTTCATGGCAAACGGAATTTCCATATCGATAGAGAAAATTCTTTACAAGAAGCTAGCTAGCAACAATTTTTAAAAGAAAAGTTTAGTGAATTAAACACAAATTACTGGAGGATGTTTATACCCGGTGTCCGATAATGGAATCTTCTTTAAAAAGGGGTGTTAGGTTACTTACTGGTATTTTACTGGTAGATCTAGTAAGTATTAAGTAGTATTAAGTTAAGTAAGTTTAAAGTTAGTTAACTAAAAAACTAAAAATAATAAAAAGTAAAAAGGTAGGCTAAAATCTATCTTAATCTTTAGTTTGATTCTTTAGGTACGTAAAATCGCCCGCGGCTATTAATGTACGAAAACGTTACCTCATTGTCAAGGCTGTAATAGAAGTATATTGTGATATGTTTGTGTCAAATATTATAGATAAATGAATAATAAATCTAAATCAATGGCTAAATATATCAATATAGGCCAGAAATTAACTTTAAACAGCAGTGTCTGCAAGCAAGATTTGCTATATAAACAGCAGCCATTTGTAAAATAGAGTGACTTCCGCCTGAATCTCGCTCTATAAGTCTATAAAAATAAAACTTTAACAAGATGGCTGCTATAGTAAATGAGCATGGTTGCATCTGTTGGAAACATCGCTAGTCTTCATTTATTACTGAAAAGTTTTAATTCAATTGTTTAAAAACAGGTACATAAATGAAACAAGGAAACATTTTTGTATTTTTTTAAAACATAAATCCTCCTCAAAATGTGAAATAATTATTAAAATGTAAGGAGTCACCTGTTTTTCACATTACTAGTCGCGGGCGATTTAACGTACCTAAAACGATAGATTACCGTATATTGTGATATATTTGTGTCAAATATTATTGATAAATGAATGATAAACTATAAACCTAACTAAATCAATGGCTAAGTTAAAAATTTAACTAAATATAAATAATACTAAATAGATCTATATCAATTTGATTATAGATATATTAATATATATACTAAAGGCAAGAAATTAACTTTAAACAGCAGTGTTTGTGAGCAAGATTTGCTATATAATATATAATATATAAAAAGCGGCCATCTGTAAGTTAGAGTGGCTTCCCCTGAATCTTGCGCTATAAATTTATAATAAAAAAAAATAAACAAGATGGCTGTTATAGTAAATGAGCATGGTTGTATCTGTTGGAAAAATTGCTAGGCCTAGTCTTCATCTATTACTGAAAAGATTTAACTCAGTTGTTTAAAAACAGGTACATAAATGAAACAAGTAAACTTTTTTGTATTTTTCAAAACATAAATTCTCCTCAAAATGTGAAATAATTATTAAAATTTAAGGAGTCACCTGTTTTTCACATTACTAGTTGCGGGTGATTTTATGTATCTAAAACAATAGATTACCAGTAAAAAATACTATACTAAATACTTATTACTTATTAAGTTATTACTTACTAAACTAAATATTAGTACTTAGTAAATACAGTACACTACACTTACTACACTACACACATGGCTAACTCTGTCCCTAACCCCAACCCTGGTCCTACCATACGCCTAACCCTAATATCTAAATGTAAAATTAGTCGAGATTACAATACTAACAACCCAACACCCCTTTTTAAAAGAAGATTCCAATATCAGACACCTGTATCTATAATAATCATCCCAAATGACTTAGACTTATGGCGGGGCCTCCAAATAATATAAATTGAATTAGGCCTTTAATCATCTTTTCCTTCTTCATCCTTATTGTGTTCTCAAAAGGACTGTGTAGATCAAACCATTGTACTTGTGTGAGGATACTAAACTACATAAGTACAGGACTAGTCTATCATATGGCTGAAAACAACACATTCCGTGCAGCTGATTTCTCGACTCAAGAAGAAAATATGAAGGATGCAGGCAACTGTGCAGATGAAGAAAAAAAGAGTGGGATTTATTTTAACCCTCCCCTATACACACAAAGATATTCATTGGCAGTCAAGTATCTGTCTGAACACAAAATCAAAAGTGTAAGTCTTCTTGAAAATGCAACATGATGTCCCAGTGGAGACAAATTTAAATCCTTGATTACATTATGACTTGTTAGTGATTGTTATGTCCCTTGTATTATTACATGATGTAACACTTTATAACTGACTTAAAACAGTCAGCTGGTCTCACAACTACTTGAATCAAAGGAAAGGTCAGGGTTGGTGTTTGTTAACTGCCAGTCCTACAACCCTAATCTTATCTGGCTCAACATCTGGCTCAACCCTAATCTTATCTGGCTCAACCCTAATCTTATCTGGCTCAACATCTGGCTCAACCCTAATCTTGTCTGGCTCAACATCTGGCTCAACCCTAATCTTATCTGGCTCAACTTTAATCTTATCTGGCTCAACATCTGGCTCAACCCTAATCTTATCTGGCTCAACCCTAATCTTATCTGGCTCAACCCTAATCTTATCTGGCTCAACATCTGGCTCAACCCTAATCTTATCTGGCTCAACCCTAATCTTATCTGGCTCAACATCTGGCTCAACCCTAATCTTATCTGGCTCAACCCTAATCTTATCTGGCTCAACATCTGGCTCAACCCTAATCTTATCTGGCTCAACCCTAATCTTATCTGGCTCAACCCTAATCTTATCTGGCTCAACATCTGGCTCAACCCTAATCTTATCTGGCTCAACATCTGGCTCAACCCTAATCTTATCTGGCTCAACATCTGGCTCAACCCTAATCTTATCTGGCTCAACATCTGGCTCAACCCTAATCTTATCTGGCTCAACCCTAATCTTATCTGGCTCAACATCTGGCTTAACCCTAATCCTATCTGGCTCAACCCTAATCTTATCTGGCTCAACATCTGGCTCAACTTTAATCTTATCTGGCTCAACATCTGGCTCAACCCTAATCTTATCTGGCTCAACATCTGGCTCAACCCTAATCTTATCTGGCTCAACCCTAATCTTATCTGGCTCAACATCTGGCTCAACCCTAATCTTATCTGGCTCAACCCTAATCTTATCTGGCTCAACATCTAGCTCAACCCTAATCTTATCTGGCTCAACCCTAATCTTATCTGGCTCAACATCTAGCTCAACCCTAATCTTATCTGGCTCAACATCTGGCTCAACCCCAATCTTATCTGGCTCAACATCTGGCTCAACCCTAATCTTATCTGGCTCAACATCTGGCTCAACCCTAATCTTGTCTGGCTCAACATCTGGCTCAACCCTAATCTTATCTGGCTCAACCCTAATCTTATCTGGCTCAACATCTGGCTCAACCCTAATCTTATCTGGCTCAACCCTAATCTTATCTGGCTCAACCCTAATCTTATCTGGCTCAACACCTGGCTCAACCCTAATCTTATCTGGCTCAACCCTAATCTTATCTGGCTCAACATCTGGCTCAACACTAATCTTATCTGGCTCAACCCTAATCTTATCTGGCTCAACCCTAATCTTATCTGGCTCAACATCTGGCTCAACCCTAATCTTATCTGGCTCAACCCTAATCTTATCTGGCTCAACATCTGGCTCAACCCTAATCTTATCTGGCTCAACATCTGGCTCAACCCTAATCTTATCTGGCTCAACCCTAATCTTATCTGGCTCAACATCTGGCTTAACCCTAATCCTATCTGGCTCAACCCTAATCTTATCTGGCTCAACATCTGGCTCAACTTTAATCTTATCTGGCTCAACATCTGGCTCAACCCTAATCTTATCTGGCTTAACATCTGGCTCAACCCTAATCTTATCTGGCTCAACCCTAATCTTATCTGGCTCAACATCTGGCTCAACCCTAATCTTATCTGGCTCAACCCTAATCTTATCTGGCTCAACATCTAGCTCAACCCTAATCTTATCTGGCTCAACCCTAATCTTATCTGGCTCAACATCTAGCTCAACCCTAATCTTATCTGGCTCAACATCTGGCTCAACCCCAATCTTATCTGGCTCAACATCTGGCTCAACCCTAATCTTATCTGGCTCAACATCTGGCTCAACCCTAATCTTGTCTGGCTCAACATCTGGCTCAACCCTAATCTTATCTGGCTCAACCCTAATCTTATCTGGCTCAACATCTGGCTCAACCCTAATCTTATCTGGCTCAACCCTAATCTTATCTGGCTCAACATCTGGCTCAACCCTAATCTTATCTGGCTCAACATCTGGCTCAACCCTAATCTTATCTGGCTCAACATCTGGCTCAACTTTAATCTTATCTGGCTCAACATCTGGCTCAACCCTAATCTTATCTGGCTCAACATCTGGCTCAACTTTAATCTTATCTGGCTCAACATCTGGCTCAACCCTAATCTTATCTGGCTCAACCCTAATCTTATCTGGCTCAACATCTGGCTCAACCCTAATCTTATCTGGCTCAACCCTAATCTTATCTGGCTCAACTTTAATCTTATCTGGCTCAACCCTAATCTTATCTGGCTCAACATCTGGCTCAACTTTAATCTTATCTGGCTCAACATCTGGCTCAACCCTAATCTTATCTGGCTCAACCCTAATCTTATCTGGCTCAACATCTGGCTCAACCCTAATCTTATCTGGCTCAACCCTAATCTTATCTGGCTCAACTTTAATCTTATCTGGCTCAACCCTAATCTTATCTGGCTCAACATCTGGCTCAACCCTAATCTTATCTGGCTCAACCCTAATCTTATCTGGCTCAACCCTAATCTTATCTGGCTCAACCCTAATCTTATCTGGCTCAACCCTAATCTTATCTGGCTCAACCCTAATCTTATCTGGCTCAACATCTGGCTCAACCCTAATCTTATCTGGCTCAACATCTGGCTCAACCCTAATCTTATCTGGCTCAACATCTGGCTCAACCCTAATCTTATCTGGCTCAACCCTAATCTTATCTGGCTCAACATCTGGCTCAACCCTAATCTTATCTGGCTCAACCCTAATCTTATCTGGCTCAACATCTGGCTCAACCCTAATCTTATCTGGCTCAACATCTGGCTCAACCCTAATCTTATCTGGCTCAACATCTGGCTCAACCCTAATCTTATCTGGCTCAACATCTGGCTCAACCCTAATCTTATCTGGCTCAACATCTGGCTCAACCCTAATCTTATCTGGCTCAACCCTAATCTTATCTGGCTCAACATCTGGCTCAACCCTAATCTTATCTGGCTCAACCCTAATCTTATCTGGCTCAACATCTGGCTCAACCCTAATCTTATCTGGCTCAACCCTAATCTTATCTGGCTCAACATCTGGCTCAACCCTAATCTTATCTGGCTCAACCCTAATCTTATCTGGCTCAACCCTAATCTTATCTGGCTCAACATCTGGCTCAACCCTAATCTTATCTGGCTCAACATCTGGCTCAACCTTAATCTTATCTGGCTCAACATCTGGCTCAACCCTAATCTTATCTGGCTCAACATCTGGCTCAACCCTAATCTTATCTGGCTCAACCCTAATCTTATCTGGCTCAACATCTGGCTCAACCCTAATCTTATCTGGCTCAACATCTGGCTCAACCCTAATCTTATCTGGCTCAACATCTGGCTCAACTTTAATCTTATCTGGATCAACATCTGGCTCAACCCTAATCTTATCTGGCTCAACATCTGGCTCAACCCTAATCTTATCTGGCTCAACCCTAATCTTATCTGGCTCAACATCTAGCTCAACCTTAATCTTATCTGGCTCAACATCTGGCTCAACCCTAATCTTATCTGGCTCAACATCTGGCTCAACCCTAATCTTATCTGGCTCAACCCTAATCTTATCTGGCTCAACATCTGGCTCAACCCTAATCTTATCTGGCTCAACATCTGGCTCAACCCTAATCTTATCTGGCTCAACCCTAATCTTATCTGGCTCAACATCTGGCTCAACCCTAATCTTATCTGGCTCAACCCTAATCTTATCTGGCTCAACATCTAGCTCAACCCTAATCTTATCTGGCTCAACATCTGGCTCAACCCTAATCTTATCTGGCTCAACATCTGGCTCAACCCTAATCTTATCTGGCTCAACATCTGGCTCAATCCTAATCTTATCTGGCTCAACATCTGGCTCAACCCTAATCTTATCTGGCTCAACCCTAATCTTATCTGGCTCAACATCTGGCTCAACCCTAATCTTATCTGGCTCAACCCTAATCTTATCTGGCTCAACATCTGGCTCAACCCTAATCTTATCTGGCTCAACCCTAATCTTATCTGGCTCAACCCTAATCTTATCTGGCTCAACATCTGGCTCAACCCTAATCTTATCTGGCTCAACATCTGGCTCAACCCTAATCTTATATGGCTCAACATCTGGCTCAACCCTAATCTTATCTGGCTCAACATCTGGCTCAACCCTAATCTTATCTGGCTCAACCCTAATCTTATCTGGCTCAACATCTGGCTTAACCCTAATCCTATCTGGCTCAACCCTAATCTTATCTGGCTCAACATCTGGCTCAACTTTAATCTTATCTGGCTCAACATCTGGCTCAACCCTAATCTTATCTGGCTCAACCCTAATCTTATCTGGCTCAACATCTGGCTCAACCCTAATCTTATCTGGCTCAACCCTAATCTTATCTGGCTCAACCCTAATCTTATCTGGCTCAACATCTGGCTCAACCCTAATCTTATCTAGCTCAACATCTGGCTCAACCCTAATCTTATCTGGCTCAACCCTAATCTTATCTGGCTCAACATCTGGCTCAACCCTAATCTTATCTGGCTCAACCCTAATCTTATCTGGCTCAACATCTGGCTTAACCCTAATCCTATCTGGCTCAACCCTAATCTTATCTGGCTCAACATCTGGCTCAACTTTAATCTTATCTGGCTCAACATCTGGCTCAACCCTAATCTTATCTGGCTCAACATCTGGCTCAACCCTAATCTTATCTGGCTCAACCCTAATCTTATCTGGCTCAACATCTGGCTCAACCCTAATCTTATCTGGCTCAACCCTAATCTTATCTGGCTCAACATCTAGCTCAACCCTAATCTTATCTGGCTCAACATCTGGCTCAACCCTAA